ATCTCCTAGGAAAGTATCTTTGCATTGTAGAGACGTCTCAACATGGCATAAAACAAGGAAATAATGACATCAAAGTCTAGCGGCTGATTATTAGTTTCTGCTTATATCTTCTAGTCTACACCTGCACCCTCTTCCCTTAGTCACCGGAACGTGTAGATCAGTCCTCGCTGTAGTTACTTCCTGTAGATATCTGAAGCTGTAAGGCAGGGTACAGGTCTAGGGTTAGGTCCTATCCTAGTGACTGTCTTCATGTTATCTAAGTGTTATTACCTCCAGTAGATATCTGAAGCTGTAAGGCAGAAGGTTCCGGAGGGTCACAGCGGGGTGGAGGTGGATCACATAGGCAGGGTCCCAGTCGTCCTCTCGCTGGGAGGAAATGAAGGCCAGGCGATCGGGCGTGGCCAAGGTGGTCACCTGGAGGGGCAGGAAGCTGCTGTCCGCCGACGGACACTGGAGAAGGGACCGCACCTCAGAGCTCAGGTGGACCTGCTCCTTCCAGGCGATACAGGTAGACGAGGGGCCGTACTGGCCCTCCAGGCGCCCGGCTGGCTGGAGGAAGAGCTGACACCTATAGGGGGAGAAGAAGACGAGGAGACGGCGTTTAACTAACAATCCACTAAACATAACCCTAGCTGACATCTGCAGCAGAGACAGAGAGAGGAGTGGAGCAAGGTAAGGAAAGGGGAGTCTGTATAAAAGCCCTAGAATATTTGTTTAAAGCCCTAGAATATTTGTTTAAAGCCCTAGAATATTTGTTTAAAGCCCTAGAGTATTTGTTTAAAGCCCTAGAATATTTGTTTAAAGCCCTAGAATATTTGTTTAAAGCCCTAGAATATTTGTTTAAAGCCCTAGAGTATTTGTTTAAAGCCCTAGAGTATTTGTTTAAAGCCCTAGAGTATTTGTTTAAAGCCCTAGAGTATTTGTTTAAAGCCCTAGAATATTTGTTTAAAGCCCTAGAGTATTTGTTTAAAGCCCTAGAGTATTTGTTTAAAGCCCTAGAATATTTGTTTAAAGCACTATAATATTTGTTTAAAGCCCTATAATATTTGTTTAAAGCCCTATAATATTTGTTTAAAGTCCTAGAATATTTGTTTAAAGCCCTAGAATATTTGTTTAAAGCCCTAGAATATTTGTTTAAAGCCCTAGAATATTTGTTTAAAGTCATAGAATATTTGTTTAAAGCCCTAGAATATTTGTTTAAAGCCCTAGAATATTTGTTTAAAGCCCTAGAATATTTGTTTAAAGCCCTAGAATATTTGTTTAAAGCCCTAGAATATTTGTTTAAAGCCCTAGAATATTTGTTTAAAGTCCTAGAATATTTGTTTAACCCATGTAAGTCTAAGCAGTTTGGAATTGCTTATCTGACATATGGATCATTTAGCTTTTTGATTTTGAATTTTACGACCCCTTTAGGTATCCGTCATGCCATTGTTATGAACGTTCTCAAGCCGTCATCTACCGGTGGCACCATAGTGGTGCCCTAAAGTGGTGAGAAGCCCAGTCATTCTGGACAGAGGCTAACTACTGTTTCATCTAAATGTCACTATAGTGGCTGGAAATACGATGACATTGCTAAAGTAGTCAAATATTTAGTAGGAAACAACTTTGCCAGCATTATCATGTTCGTCAAATTTACTTTAGACAGATGGCAATGTTGTCATTAGCTAGCAAAGTTCGTCAAACATAGCTAGCAACGCTAACTAGTTAAAATCTGGTGGCCTCCCATCAACCTTAGCTAGCTAACGTTATACTGATATCTGGCGACATCAAAATGACGACAAAAGTTTTTCCTACTAATTATTTGCCTCCTTTTGAATGTCATTGTATTTCCAAGCCACTGTAATGCACTTTTGATGAAATCTTCATCAGCGCTCATTGACGATACATTGCGTAGAATGCTCAGTCCGAAACGAACGTTCAAAACAATATTGTGACGAAACATGCAACTCATTAATATCTAGGAGATACAAGAAAGCTTAATATATACATATATATATATATATATATATTTAACCCCTTTTTTTGGGTACCTTCATACACTTTTTTTTAACGGTACCGGTTACCTTCAGACGAGTGGGGGTTGTAGAGCAAAATGTGTTCGTAAGAATCTCCCCTTTCCACAGTGGAGTCACATTAGTTTGTAGCCCAAACGGTTCGGACACTACAAACAAAGAAGTTGGCACATCAACGGTACCGACTTCAGACGAGAGGTCGTAGAGCAAAACGAAGAACACCATCGTGTTCGTGAGAATCTCATCTTTCCATAGAATGGTCACAGTTTGTACGTCAAACCGTTCGGACGCTAAATACCTTTTCGTGAGAACACCAATTTTCAGGATGTCTCATGGTCTGACAAACACCGTTCTGGCTCTGCCACCTTTCACCGCAGATGCAAACATGTGACACTAGTAGATGCGGTGGATTGAGACAAAAAAAACATATCTCTAGGTTAAATTGACGGATTTTAATGGGGATTTTTTCATGTAACTTATCGACTCTAGGGGGTAAAGCCCTAGAATGTTTGTTTAAAACACTAATATTTGTTTAAAGAATACTTGTTTAACCCTCCCGTTGTCCTAGGGTCAAAATGACCCGCCACTGTGTTGAACCAACTTTATTTAATTTTTATATTTTTGGGATCATTTGTGAGAAGGAGGCAGTGAGACTTTAAAGAAAGTATCACTGCCTCCTTCTCACAAATGATCCAAAAAATATAAAAATTAATTAAAGTTGGTTCAACACAGTGGCGGGTCATTTTGACCCTAGGACAACGGGAGGGTTTAAAGCACTAGCATACTTGTTTAACGCACTAAAATATTTTTGTGGTGCCCCTCTCTCGAACGTGGACCTTCGAGCCGGATAATGAAACACTGAGACCGAGCAAGGGGACACCTGGATCTCCCAATCTGCCCAGCTCAGCAGACATCAACTTCTCTTAATTTCCTGTTTACTTATTAGCATCTCATAAATAGTATCCTTTGTCCGTACGCTGCGATCACCGGCCTTTCAGAAGCTATGTTGAAATAGAGCTGTCCATTCACATGATAAGTAACCAATATAATTATGTAAAATTGTCCTTAGAGCACATTTGTGACGTGAGGCTCACACGTGCAAACAGCTGATAAAGTGTATCACGCTTTAATTCAAGGAGAAGTTACTAGAACACTCCTTGGCGGGAACAAGTACTAGTGACTGGTGTCATACATGTGTGCTCTCTGAGGAGGATGGGAACAACTGGGCTACCAACATGGTTATTACCTGTATGAGTCCAGGGCTACCAACATGGTTATTACCTGTATGAGTCCAGGGCTACCAACATGGTTATTACCTGTATGAGTCCAGGGCTACCAACATGGTTATTACCTGTATGAGTCCAGGGCTACCAACATGGTTATTACCTGTATGAGTCCAGGGCTAACCAACATGGTTATTACCTGTATGAGTCCAGGGCTACCAACATGGTTATTACCTGTATGAGTCCAGGCTACCAACATGGTTATTACCTGTATGAGTCCAGGGCTACCAACATGGTTATTACCTGTATGAGTCCAGGGGGTGTATGATCCAGGGCTACCAACATGGTTATTACCTGTATGAATCCAGGGCTACCAACATGGTTATTACCTGTATGAGTCCAGGGCTACCAACATGGTTATTACCTGTATGAGTCCAGGGCTACCAACATGGTTATTACCTGTATGATCCAGGGCTACCAACATGGTTATTACCTGTATGAGTCCAGGGCTACCAACATGGTTATTACCTGTATGAGTCCAGGGCTACCAACATGGTTATTACCTGTATGAGTCCAGGGCTACCAACATGGTTATTACCTGTATGAGTCCAGGGCTACCAACATGGTTATTACCTGTATGAGTCCAGGGCTACCAACATGGTTATTACCTGTATGAGTCCAGGCTACCAACATGGTTATTACCTGTATGAGTCCAGGGCTACCAACATGGTTATTACCTGTATGAGTCCAGGGCTACCAACATGGTTATTACCTGTATGAGTCCAGGGCTACCAAATGGTTATTACCTGTATGAGTCCAGGGCTACCAACATGGTTATACCTGTATGAGTCCAGGGCTACCAACATGGTTATTACCTGTATGAGTCCAGGGCTACCAACATGGTATTACCTGTATGAGTCCAGGGCTACCAACATGGTTATTACCTGTATGAATCCAGGGCTACCAACATGGTTTATTACCTGTATGACTCCAGGGCTACCAACATGGTTATTACCTGTATGAGTCCAGGGCTACCAACATGGTATTACCTGTATGAGTCCAGGGCTACCAACATGGTTATTACCTGTATGAGTCCAGGGCTACCAACATGGTTATTACCTGTATGAGTCCAGGGCTACCAACATGGTTATTACCTGTATGAGTCCAGGGCTACCAACATGGTTATTACCTGTATGAGTCCAGGGCTACCAACATGGTTATTACCTGTATGAGTCCAGGGCTACCAACATGGTTATTACCTGTATGAGTCCAGGGCTACCAACATGGTTATTACCTGTATGAGTCCAGGGCTACCAACATGGTTATTACCTGTATGAGTCCAGGGCTACCAACATGGTTATTACCTGTATGAGTCCAGGGCTACCAACATGGTTATTACCTGTATGAGTCCAGGGCTACCAACATGGTTATTACCCTGTATGAGTCCCAGGGCTACCAACATGGTTATTACCTGTATGAGTCCAGGGGCTACCAACATGGTTATTACCTGTATGAGTCCAGGGCTACCAACATGGTTATTACCTGTATGAGTCCATGGGCTACCAACATGGTTATTACCTGTATGAGTCCAGGGCTACCAACATGGTTATTACCTGTATGAGTCCAGGGCTACCAACATGGTTTACCTGTATGGGGAAGTCAGGGCTACCAAACCATGGTTATACCTGAATCCAGGGCTACCAACATGGTTATTACCTGTATGAGTCCAGGGATACCAACATGGTTATTACCTTGTATGAGTCCGGGATACCAACATGGTTATTACCTGTATGAGTCCAGGGCTACCAACATGGTTATTACCTGTATGAGTCCAGGGCTACCAACATGGTTATTACCTGTATGAGTCCAGGGCTACCAACATGGTTATTACCTGTATGAGTCCAGGGCTGACCAACATGGTTATTACCTGTATGAGTCCAGGGCTACCAACATGGTTTATTACCTGTATGAGTCCAGGGCTACCAACATGGTTATTACCTGTATGAGTCCAGGGCTACCAACATGGTTATTACCTGTATGAGTCCAGGGCTACCAACATGGTTATTACCTGTATGAGTCCAGGGCTACCCAACATGGTTATTACCTGTATGAGTCCAGGGCTACCAACATGGTTTATTACCTGTATGAGTCCAGGGCTACCAACATGGTTATTACCTGTATGAGTCCAGGGCTACCAACATGGTTATTACCTGTATGAGTCCAGGGCTACCAACATGGTTATTACCTGTATGAGTCCAGGGCTACCAACATGGTTATTACCTGTATGAGTCCAGGGCTACCAACATGGTTATTACCTGTATGAGTCCAGGGCTACCAACATGGTTATTACCTGTATGAGTCCAGGGCTACCAACATGGTTATTACCTGTATGAAATCCAGGGCTACCAACATGGTTATTACCTGGTATGAGTCCAGGGCTACCAACATGGTTATTACCTGTATGAGTCCAGGGCTACCAACTGGTTATTACCTGTATGAGTCCAGGGCTAACACCAACATGGTTATTACCTGTATGAAGTCCATGGGCTACCAACATGGTTATTACCTGTAATGAAGTCCCAGGGCTACCAACATGGTTATTACCTGTATGAGTCCAGGGCTACCAACATGGTTGTACCTGTATGAATCCAGGGCTACCAACATGGTTATTACCTGTATGAGTCCAGGGCTTACCAACATGGTTAATTACCTGTATGGTCCAGGGCTACCACATGGTTATTACCTGTATGATTCCAGGCTCCAACATGGTTTTAATTACTGTTGAGTGTCCAGGGCTAACTCAACATGGTTATACCTGTATGATCCAGGGCTACCAACATGGTTATTACCTTATGAGTCCCATGGCTACACAATGGTTATTACCTTTATGAGTCCAGGGCTACCAACATGGTTATACCAGGGCTGTATGAGTCCAACAACATGGTTATTACCTGTATGAGTCCAGGCCTGTATGAGTCCAGGGCTACAACATGGTTATTCCTGTATGAGTCCAGGGCTACCAACATGGTTATACCTGTTGAGTCCGGGCTACCAACATGGTTATCCTGTATGAGTCCAGGGCTACCAACATGTTATTACCTGTATGAGTCCAGGGCTCCAACATGGTTATTACCTGTATTAGTCCAGGGCTACCAACATGGTTTACCTTATGAGTCCGGGCTACCAACATGGTATTACCTGTATGAGTCGGGGCTACCAGAATACAGTTTGTTATCCCTGTATGAGTCCAGGGCTACAAAATGTTATTACCTGTATGAGTCCAGGGCTACCAACATGGTTATTACCTGTATGATTCCAGGGCTACCAACATGGTATTACCTGTATGAGTCAGGGCTACCAACATGGTTATTACCTGTATGAGATCCAGGCTACCAACATGGTTATTACCTGTATGAGTCCGGGCTACCAACATGGTTATTACCTGTATGAGTCCGGGCTACCAACATGTTATTACCTGATGAGTCCGGGCTACCAACATGGTTATTACCTGGTATTAGCCAGGGCTACCAACATGGTTATTACCTGTATGAGTCCAGGCTACAACATGGTTATTACCTGTATGAGTCCGGGCTACCAACATGGTTATTACCTGTATGAGTCCAGGGTACCACTGGTTATACCTGATGAGTCCAGGGTACCAACATGGTTATTACCTTATGAGTCCGGGCTACACATGGTTTTACCTGTATGAGTCCAGGGCTACAACATGGTTATTACCTGTATGAGTCCAGGGCTACCAACATGGTTATTACCTGTATGATCCAGGGTACCAACATGGTTATTCCCTGTATGAGTCCAGGGTCCCAACATGTTATTAACTGTATGAGTCCAGGGCTCCAAATGGTTATTACCTGTATGAGTCCAGGTACCAACATGGTTATTACTGTATGAGTCCAGGCTACAACATGGTTATTACCTGTATGAGTCCAGGGCTACCAACATGGTTACAACCACAACATGGTTCTTCACCTGTATGCGTCCGGGGCTACCAACACGTTATTAACTGTTATGAGTCCCGGGCGCTACCAACATGTTTATTCCCTGTCTTGGAGTGTCAGGCTACCAACATGGTTATTACCTGTATGAAGTCCAGGGCTACCAACATGGTTATTACCTGTATGAGTCCAGGGCTACCAACAGGGTTATTACATGTATGAGTCAGGGCTACCAACCTGGTTATTACCCTGTATGAGTACGGGCTTACCAACATGGTTATTCCCTGTATGAGTCCAGGGCTACCAACATGGTTATACCTGTATGAGTCCCAGGGCTACCAACATGGTTATTACCTGTATGAGTCCAGGCTACCAACATGGTTATTACCTGTATGAGTCCAGGGCTACCAACATGGTTATTACCTGTATGAGTCCAGGGCTACCAACATGGTTATTACCTGTATGAGTCCAGGGCTACCAACATGGTTATTACCTGTATGAGTCCAGGGCTACCAACATGGTTATTACCTGTATGAGTCCAGGGCTACCAACATGGTTATTACCTGTATGAGTCCAGGGCTACCAACATGGTTATTACCTGTATGAGTCCAGGGCTACCAACATGGTTATTACCTGTATGAGTCCAGGGCTACCAACATGGTTATTACCTGTATGAGTCCAGGGCTACCAACATGGTTATTACCTGTATGAGTCCAGGGCTACCAACATGGTTATTACCTGTATGAGTCCAGGGGCTACCAACATGGTTATTACCTGTATGAGTCCAGGGCTACCAACATGGTTATTACCTGTATGAGTCCAGGGCTACCAACATGGTTATTACCTGTATGAGTCCAGGGCTACCAACATGGTTATTACCTGTATGAGTCCAGGGCTACCAACATGGTTATTACCTGTATGAGTCCAGGGCTACCAACATGGTTATTACCTGTATGAGTCCAGGGCTACCAACATGGTTATTACCTGTATGAGTCCAGGGCTACCAACATGGTTATTACCTGTATGAGTCCAGGGCTACCAACATGGTTATTACCTGTATGAGTCCAGGGCTACCAACATGGTTATTACCTGTATGAGTCCAGGGCTACCAACATGGTTATTACCTGTATGAGTCCGGGCTACCAACATGGTTATTACCTGTATGAGTCCAGGGCTACCAACATGGTTATTACCTGTATGAGTCCAGGGCTACCAACATGGTTATTACCTGTATGAGTCCAGGGCTACCAACATGGTTATTCCCTGTATGAGTCCAGGGCTACCAACATGGTTATTACCTGTATGAGTCCAGGGCTACCAACATGGTTATTACCTGTATGAGTCCAGGGCTACCAACATGGTTATTCCCTGTATGAATCCAGGGCTACCAACATGGTTATTACCTGTATGAGTCCAGGGCTGACCAACATGGTTATTACCTGTATGAGTCCAGGGCTACCAACATGGTTATTACCTGTATGAGTCCAGGGCTACCAACATGGTTATTACCTGTATGAGTCCAGGGCTACCAACATGGTTATTACCTGTATGAGTCCAGGGCTACCAACATGGTTATTACCTGTATGAGTCCAGGGCTACCAACATGGTTATTACCTGTATGAGTCCAGGGCTACCAACATGGTTATTACCTGTATGAGTCCAGGGCTACCAACATGGTTATTACCTGTATGAGTCCAGGGCTACCAACATGGTTATTACCTGTATGAGTCCAGGGCTACCAACATGGTTATTACCTGTATGAGTCCAGGGCTACCAACATGGTTATTACCTGTATGAGTCCAGGGCTACCAACATGGTTATTACCTGTATGAGTCCAGGGCTACCAACATGGTTATTACCTGTATGAGTCCAGGGCTACCAACATGGTTATTACCTGTATGAGTCCAGGGCTACCAACATGGTTATTACCTGTATGAATCCAGGGCTACCAACATGGTTATTACCTGTATGAGTCCAGGGCTACCAACATGGTTATTACCTGTATGAATCCAGGGCTACCAACATGGTTATTACCTGTATGAGTCCAGGGCTACCAACATGGTTATTACCTGTATGAGTCCAGGGCTACCAACATGGTTATTACCTGTATGAGTCCAGGGCTACCAACATGGTTATTACCTGTATGAGTCCAGGGCTACCAACATGGTTATTACCTGTATGAGTCCAGGGCTACCAACATGGTTATTACCTGTATGAGTCCAGGGCTACCAACATGGTTATTACCTGTATGAGTCCAGGGCTACCAACATGGTTATTACCTGTATGAGTCCAGGGCTACCAACATGGTTATTACCTGTATGAGTCCAGGGCTACCAACATGGTTATTACCTGTATGAATCCAGGGCTACCAACATGGTTATTACCTGTATGAGTCCAGGGCTACCAACATGGTTATTACCTGTATGAGTCCAGGGCTACCAACATGGTTATTACCTGTATGAGTCCAGGGCTACCAACATGGTTATTACCTGTATGAGTCCAGGGGCTACCAACATGGTTATTACCTGGGTCCAGGGCTACCAACTGGTTAGGAGTCCAGGGCTACCAACATGGTTATTACCTGTATGAGTCCAGGGCTACCAACATGGTTATACCTGTATGAGTCCAGGGCTACCAACATGGTTATTACCTGTATGAGTCCAGGGCTACCAACATGGTTATTACCTGTATGAGTCCAGGGCTACCAACATGGTTATTCCTGTATGAGTCCAGGGCTACCAACATGGTTATTACCTGTATGAGTCCAGGGCTACCAACATGGTTATTACCTGTATGAGTCCAGGGCTACCAACATGGTTATTACCTGTATGAGTCCAGGGCTACCAACATGGTTATTACCTGTATGAGTCCAGGGCTACCAACATGGTTATTACCTGTATGAGTCCAGGGCTACCAACATGGTTATTACCTGTATGAGTCCAGGGCTACCAACATGGTTATTACCTGTATGAGTCCAGGGCTACCAACATGGTTATTACCTGTATGAGTCCAGGGCTACCAACATGGTTATTACCTGTATGAGTCCAGGGCTACCAACATGGTTATTACCTGTATGAGTCCAGGGCTACCAACATGGTTATTACCTGTATGAGTCCAGGGCTACCAACATGGTTATTACCTGTATGAGTCCAGGGCTACCAACATGGTTATTACCTGTATGAGTCCAGGGCTACCAACATGGTTATTACCTGTATGAGTCCAGGGCTACCAACATGGTTATTACCTGTATGAATCCAGGGCTACATGAGACTCTTTCTCAGGCTCTGCCAATCCTATGTTAACCAGACCTCTGGATGTGGGGCAATACTTCAGGATGGCAAACGGCACTGAGAAATGGTTCTGGATCTGGAACACAAAACAACATTGAAAAACTGTGAGTTAAGGATGACATAATCCTTTTTTAACTCGATGGAAAAAAAGATTTTACTGTAATTGAAAAGTGCTGAATATATCAAATGTGTTTTAATAGCAGCTGCTTTCATGTTGCAAGTCCACAGACGTGTTCCTCTCTACTGGAAGCTGTTGAGCATCTATAACCTACAGGAGGACCGTTCCATAGAGAGTGAGTGATGGAGGAGAGTTCCATAGAGAGTGAGTGATGGAGGAGAGTTCCATAGAGAGTGAGTGATGGAGGAGAGTTCCATAGAGAGTGAGTGATGGAGGAGAGTTCCATAGAGAGTGAGTGATGGAGGACAGCTCCATAGAGAGTGAGTGGTGGAGGACAGCTCCATAGAGAGTGAGTGATGGAGGAGAGCTCCATAGAGAGTGAGTGATGGAGGACAGCTCCATAGAGAGTGAGTGATGGAGGAGAGCTCCAGAGAGAGTGAGTGATGGAGGACAGTTCCATAGAGAGTGAGTGATGGAGGAGAGTTCCATAGAGAGTGAGTGATGGAGGACAGCTCCAGAGAGAGTGAGTGATGGAGGACAGTTTCATAGAGAGTGAGTGATGGAGGAGAGTTCCATAGAGAGTGAGTGATTTGCTGACCTGCAGTGGAGAGCGGACGGTGATGACCTTGTTTCCTTCTGAGGCGTCTACCTGCAGCAACACCGACACGTCCTCCTGCAGCATGGGATCTCTCACGTTATACAGCCTCCGGCCAGGCTTGTCCACCGCCATGTTGGAGATCCCACTGTAACCTGTAGGAACTGTGGTGGAGACAGACCAGTGGACATCTTCAGCTGCTGCCTGTATCCATTATCTATGGCAGTGGAATGGCATTTTTAAAAATCCCCATGCCAAGCTATTCAGTTCAAATCCCATTCAAAACCACTGGAAAAGGAAGTATCCCTACCCAGAGACTACAAACAGAGACAAACTCTCTTGGAATGTAAAAGAAGCCTAACCAGGAGTGACCACATCAAGCAACATGTCCAGCACCCCCCCCCTATATACAGTAGTCTACTGACCGATGCTGAGGTTGAAGAGGCAGCTCTCCTGGCGCTGCAAGGCAGACAGTTTGCCCCGTGTCGAGGTCCCGAACACGGAGTGCTCCAGGTCCACGCTCTGCCCTACCCCGACCTCGTGGAGCTTGCCCTGCCCAGGCGAGGCCACCACCCGCAGGTTGGCACTGTGCTGCACGGTGAGGGGGACGCCCAGCGCGTTACGGATGGTGAAGGGGGCCTTCTCCTTCAGACTGTGGTCAAAGGTAGAGGCTGTGCCCTCAGAGAATGCCTGAGCAGAAATGACAAGAACGGAACGGTAGTGTGCTGTGAATAAACGTGCTGCAATTTTCTCCATTTTTTTCATTTTTGTAAACAAACTTCTAAACAATAGGTTGGTTTGTGGGATCTAGATGAATCCAGTCCTGGACTAATAACATGCCCAATGATATCGATGTTTAGTCTAGGAATAACCTTAATTAGAGGTGGAGAAATGGGTCAAACTTTCATAGGAATAATGAATGGGCTACTGTTAACCTGATCAAATCCAATCTGTCCAAACTGACAGAAATAATGTGTCTGATGTTTACTTTTCCTCAGCCGTGTTCCTGTATTCTATGTACATGCAGTGTGTGTGTTGTTGTGTGTGTGTGTGGGGGGTGTGGGGGGTGTGTGTGTGTTGTGCTTTTGTTGTTGTGTGTGTTGAGTGGGTGTGTGGCCATGTGTGAGTTTTTGTGTGTGCATTGTGTGTGGGTGTTTGTGTTTTTGGTGTGTGTATTTGTCGTGTATGTTTGGTGTGTGGGTGTGGGTGTGGGGTGGTGTGTTTTTGTGGGTTTTGTGGTGTTGTGTGGTGTGTGTGTGTGTGTGGTGTGTGTGTGCTGGTGTGTTGTGTGTGTGTGTGTGTGTTGTGTGTGTGGTGTGTGTGTGTGTTGTGTGTGGTGTTGTTGTGTGTGTGTGTGTTGTTATTGTTTTTTTTTTTTGTGTTTGTGCATGTTTTGTGCAGTTGACGCTTGTTTCGTGCGTTGTCAGTGATCATTGGGTGTAGTGCCTTGCTAGTGGGCATCGGCAGATTTTTCATGGTGGTTGGGTTTACGTTTGGTTCTGGCACGTGTTCCGTATTATGTACTGCAGTGTGTGTGTGTGTGTGTTGTTGTGTGTGTGGTGGTGTGTGTGTGTGTGTGTGTGTGGTGTGTGTTGTGTGTGTGGTTGTCTACCTGGCTAGGTTGTTGAATACAGTGAGGCAGCACTTGGAGTGATGTGTAAGTGTGATGTGGTGGTCTGGGAACGATGGGATGGTTGTTGGGGTGTGTTCGTGCTCAGGGGAGACCACTGGTGATCCCGTCGTGAAGTGTGCTTGATCCCTGCACTGTGTGTGTTTGCTTCGTCATGTGTTGGTGCACATGTGTGAATGCTGGTTGATGTGTGTAGTGTTATAGGTTATCTGCGCGTTCCTTGATGGTTGGAGGTTTGTAGTACACGTAGTTGTGTTTCTGGTTGTTAGTGTATGTGTATTGCTTGAGGTTACTATGAGGTTGGTTAGGGTTATTCAGCGTACCTCTAGCTTGAGGTTCCACTATGAGGTTGGTCAGGGTTATTCAGCGTACCTCTAGCTTGAGGTTCCACTATGATGTTGATGGTCAGGGTTATTCAGCGTACCTCTAGCTGAGGTTCCACTATGAGGTGGTCAGGTTATCAGCGTCCTCTAGCTTGAGTTCCACTATGAGGTTGGTTAGGTTATTCACGTACCTCTAGCTTGAGGTTCCACTTGAGGTTGGTAGGTTATTCACGTACCTCTAGCTAGGTTCCACTATGAGGTTGGTCAGGGTTATTCAGCGACCTCTAGCTTGAGGTTCCCTATGAGGTGGTAGGTTACTCAGCGTAGCCTCTAGCTTGAGTTTCACTAAGGTTGGTTAGGGTTATTCAGCGTACCTCTAGCTTGAGGTTCCACTATGAGGTGGTCAGGTATTCAGCGTACCTCTAGCTTGAGGTTCCACTATGAGGTTGGTCAGGGTTATTCAGCGTACCTCTAGCTTGAGGTTCCACTATGAGGTTGGTCAGGGTTACTCAGCGTACCTCTAGCTTGAGGTTTCACTATGAGGTTGGTTAGGGTTATTCAGCGTACCCTAGCTTGAGGTTCCACTATGAGGTTGGTTAGGGTTATTCAGCGTACCTCTAGCTTGAGGTTCCACTATGAGGTTGGTTAGGGTTATTCAGCGTACCTCTAGCTTGAGGTTCCACTATGAGGTTGGTCAGGGTTATTCAGCGTACCTCTAGCTTGAGGTTCCACTATGAGGTTGGTCAGGGTTATTCAGCGTACCTCTAGCTTGAGGTTCCACTATGAGGTTGGTCAGGGTTATTCAGCGTACCTCTAGCTTGAGGTTTCACTATGAGGTTGGTCAGGGTTATTCAGCGTACCTCTAGCTTGAGGTTCCACTATGAGGTTGGTTAGGGCTATTCAGCGTACCTCTAGCTTGAGGTTCCACTATGAGGTTGGTCAGGGTTATTCAGCGTACCTCTAGCTTGAGGTTCCACTATGAGGTTGGTTAGGGTTATTCAGCGTACCTCTAGCTTGAGGTTCCACTATGAGGTTGGTTAGGGTTATTCAGCGTACCTCTAGCTTGAGGTTCCACTATGAGGTTGGTTAGGGTTATTCAGCGTACCTCTAGCTTGAGGTTCCACCTGCGTTTGCCGTCCTCCACCCTCTCTATCAGCGGTTCCCAGACAGCATGGGTCTCATTGAAGTAGTTCACCTGTCAACAGTCAACATATTCACACAGTGTCAAAATCAGGATCGATCCCATTTATATCAATTTAAGTGCACAAATTGAATTGATTATGAAATTCAAAAGAACGTGGGCAGTCGAAAGGTTTGAAATGCACCCACGAATGCCAAACGTAACAAGTATCCCCACATAAGTACGTAATGCACAAGACTAAAGAAAAGCTATGTTTGCCTGCCCAACGACTTCCTAAAATACACATGAGAAGGTCACGTCATGGCACATGAAATGCTCCTGTATGTACAGAAATCAGGATGTGCATCAGGCTAATACTTGAGAGTACTGAAAAGCTCCGGTCCTCACCTCCAGGGTCATGTCAGCGCAGAGGTAGAGGAGGGAGGACCAGTTGTTGGCCGTCCCAGACAGGGAGCTCTCAGCCAGCAGCAGGGGGACCGTCCTGTGGCCCAGGCCAGACTCCATGGTCACCTGAATTACCTTCACATCCACCTTGAAACTCTCACCAACGTTACGGCCGTCCTGGTCACTGAAACTCTCCGTCACCTAGAGGGAAATTCACGTCAAGGTTTAACGCCATTTGTAGGCAGAGAATACAAAAACAAACTATAGTGGAGGTAAACTGAGCGCCCAAATGTTCCTGGCAGGGGACAGAAGGTTCTAGAATAGGGACAGAAGGTTCTAGTATAGGGACAGAAGGTTCTTGTATAGGGACAGAAGGTTCTAGTATAGGGACTGAAGGTTCTAGTATAGGGACAGAAGGTTCTAGTATAGGGACAGAAGGTTCTAGTATAGGGACAGAAGGTTCTAGTATAGGGACAGAAGGTTATTGTATAGGGACTGAAGGTTCTAGAATAGGGACTGAAAGTTCTAGTATAGGGACTGAAGGTTCTAGTATAGGGACAGAAGGTTATTGTATAGGGACTGAAGGTTCTAGAATAGGGACAGAAGGTTATTGTATAGGGACTGAAGGTTCTAGAATAGGGACTGAAGGTTCTTGTATAGGGACAGAAGGTTATTGTATAGGGACTGAAGGTTCTAGAATAGGGACTGAAGGTTCTTGTATAGGGACAGAAGGTTATTGTATAGGGACTGAAGGTTCTAGAATAGGGACTGAAGGTTCTTGTATAGGGACAGAAGGTTATTGTACAGGGACAGAAGGTTCTTGTATAGGGACAGAATACAAACATTGCAATTCCACTGGTACTTGGAAAATATTAAAGATCTTGAGGTATTCAATTTCAATTCCAGTCAATTCAGAAAGTAAACCAAATTCTCACTGAAAAATTCATTGAAGAGAATTAGAATTCAGTGTACTTCCTGAATTGACTGGAATTGAAAAGAAATTGACCCCAACCGTGGTTTCTGTACCTCGCTGGCCGTGTCCACTCCCAGGAACCAGTAGTTGCAGGCGTAGATGTTCATGGTGGACCACAGGCTGCTGACCTCAATCTTCTCCTCCTCTCCTGCCTCGTCTATAGGTTTAGCTGTCATGGCTGCTGTGATGGTCTTCACTGTGTTCAGTATGACAGGGGAGATCTGACAGAGGGAAGGAAGGACGTGGGAGGAATTCATTTGTTACTTTATTTATCCTTTATTAATACAGGGTCAGTCAGCGGATTCTTATTTGTGATGATAATGGATGATCTCAATGATAATCAATTGAAAATCTCAATTGCAATGACGATCTCGATCGATGGCTATGTTGATAAGTAGCTTCTCAGTGCGTCAGGCGGTTCAATAATTCAAACCTTTTCTCTCTCCGAGCACTCAGAGCTAAAAGGTCTTCATGGATCCACCTGTACCCGAATACCCAAGACCCGATCCGGAACCCGAGCGGGTCCGGATCCAGAATTCTAAAATAATGTCACAGGTCTAATCTGATATGATTGTCACGGGTATGTGTAATTTTAACTGACAGATCCGAACTAGACCTCTGCAGTAGAGAGAGAGAGAGAGAGAGAGAAATTGGGATGAAACCTACTTTGACAATGACTTCTTCCACAGTCACACAGCCGGTAAGGGGTTGGTTGGGGTGGGTTTTGGTTTCCAGGACGACAGAACACGGCCGTAGCACCTGAAGACCAATGAGAAAGAAGCATTAGGGAGTTGATTCAATTCAATATCCTTTCACGGAAAATGTATTAACACAAAATTGCAAATAGCTTTGAATCATGCTTCATCCCAGCTGATGGGGCCCTCCTGTAGCTCAGTTGGTAGAGCGTGGCGCTTGCAACGCCAGGGTTGTGGGTTCGTTTATAATATAATAATAATATGCCATTTAGCAGACGCTTTTATCCAAAGCGACTTACAGTCATGCGTGCATACATTTTTACGTATGGGTGGTCCCGGGGATCGAACCCACTACCCTGGCGTTACAAGCGCCATGCTCTACCAATTGAGCTACAGAGGACCACACTGGGGGCCAGTATGAAAATGTATGCACTCACTAACTGTAAGTCACTCTGGATAAGAGCGTCTGCTAAATGACTAGAAATGTAAATGTCTTACGGTAGTGACATTAGATGCTGTGTAGAGGGTCTAAAAAAAATAGAGATATTAAAAGCTATTTTATGCTCACCGTGGTGACAGCCTGGTTCTCCTCGGTCCTGATGAAGGGGCAGGCCAGAACTTTGAGCTCTCTGAGGTTGGCCGTCATGCTTTGTCCCCCAGGGGCCCCGGGCCCTCCCCCGGGCTCTAGCATCAGACTGAAGTCACACTGGAATGAGGCCACCAGGGCCGGAGCGTCGGCTCTCATCAGGTTAGCCACAAACACCACCTCTGGATCTACTATGACCACACGCAGCTTGGTCCTGGGACTGGAGCCTGGGGGGGGGGGAGAGGTGGAGGGCGAAGAAACACAAGGGAAGTCAAGAAAACAGCCATTACCCCACCACCGCACATAGACTAATATTTGGTATGGAGGCCAGAGAGAGACGGAGAGGATACAACTATTCTGTCAGGTATGAAACTGAAGGAAGAATATAGGAAGGTAAAGAAAACACCGTACAATACATTACCATCACTCCACACCAAAAGACAACACTGTAGCCATCACAATACATTACCATCACTCCACACCAAAAGACAACACCGTAGCCATCACAATACATTACCATCACTCCACACCAAAAGACAACACCGTAGCCATCACAATACATTACCATCACTCCACACCAAAAGAAAACACCTTAGCCATCACAATACATTACCATCACTCCACACCAAAAGACAACACCGTAGCCATCACAATACATTACCATCACTCCACACCAAAAGACAACACCGTAGCCATCACAATACATTACCATCACTCCACACCAAAAGACAACACCTTAGCCATCACAATACATTACCATCACTCCACACCAAAAGACAAACACCGTAGCCATCACAATACATTACCATCACTCCACACCAAAAGACAACACCGTAGCCATCACAATACATTACCATCACTCCACACCAAAAGAAAACACCTTAGCCATCACAATACATTACCATCACTCCACACCAAAAGACAACACCGTAGCCATCACAATACATTACCATCACTCCACACCAAAAGACAACACCGTAGCCATCACAATACATTACCATCACTCCACACCAAAAGACAACACCTTAGCCATCACAATACATTACCATCACTCCACACCAAAAGACAACACCGTAGCCATCACAATACATTACCATCACTCCACACCAAAAGACAACACCGGAGCCATCACAATACATTACCATCACTCCACACCAAAAGGAATTCCTACGAACATAGTTGAATGGCTGTATAGTTTTCTGTTTCTAATTTCCCCGACCCCCTCTCCCCTTACCTGTTCTGGGGTCAGTGTTGGTTCTATCCCGAAGCTCAGCCAGCTGTTTGAGGGGTAGCTGGGAGGTCTTGGCCAGGTCCGGCATGGTGTTAGTGGGCACGGCCTGGGCAGAGCTCTGGGGCAGGGCCTGGATGAAGAAGTCTGCCACCGCCATCAGGAACTCCACGCTGGCACACAGATAAAGCTTCTGGAACACCGCCACCACCTGGCGCTCACTGGCACTCTGAGCGTACGTCACGTCTATCATGGCTTCCTCACTCTCCTCGCCACGCTTACCCAGCATCCTGAGGGTTTTGGGCAAAAACATGAGGTTACATGTCAATCAATCCAACAATCGATACATTGAGACCGACCCGACTGTACTGTATGTATAACCTCCGTACTGCGTAGAACACAACCCAGTGGTACATTCCAGAAGTTTAACCTTTTGGTAGCCTCCACCCCAGCCGTGTGATGTCTGGCAGGCAGCGTGAGACTAACCGTGAGGTGACTCTCTGTATGCCTGTCCTCATGTCGTCCAGGGTGCAGGCTGTGAGGATGCTAGAGGCCTCCATGGCCCCGTTATTAAACATTTTCCCTGAAGCCTTTATCAGGTGCAAGGTAAACTCCCCCAGACACAGCCCCTCCTGGTGTTGAGACACTGCTGATGCCTTGGAAATGGGGAAACAAAAGACATGACATCTGTCAATAAAACCAACCTTGTAGTCTCTTTGAAACGTCAGCAGACCACTGGGGGAACTACAGAGAGTCATTACAAGGTCATTACCACAGAGTCATTTTGGACAGTAATGACTGGTGTTGGTAGATGTTCAAACTCGTCACCCTAATCATGGCTTTATCTACATTTACATTTAAGTCATTTAGCAGACGCTCTTATCCAGAGCGACTTACAGTTAAGTGAGTGCATACATGATTTTTTTTATTTTTCATACTATTTTTCATACCCCGGTGGGAATCGAAACCCACAACCCTGGCGTTGCAAACGCCATGCTCTACCAACTGAGCTACATCCCTGCCGGCCATTCCCTCCCCTACCCTAGACGACGCTGGGCCAATTGTGCGCCGCCCCCATGGGTCTCCCGGTCACGGGCCGGCTACGACAGAGCCTGGATTCGAACCAGGATCTCTAGTGGCACAGCTAGCACTGCGATGCAGTGCCTTAGACCACTGCGCCACTCGGGTCTAATTCTCCAGGGCTTAGAGAGCAGAGTGGACATCAGAGTAAATGACTGGTCTTTACTGTCCCTCTGTCCAAGGCCCAATTTCCCTGTTCCTCCACATGGTACATTAGACGTGAGACTGGGCTACATCACCTCTAGGTACGTACCTGTTTAGGGTCATTGCTGTACAGAACCAGTCCCAGGGACTCTATGTTGAAGACGAACTTCATGGTTTCCAGGGGCTCCTCTTCTACCTCTTGCTCTGGAAGTTCGACCATGTTCGCATCTGAAGGATGAGGAGATAAGAGAAACATGTCGTAAGAGTCAGGGACTCCAGGCGATACCCTACCGACACACACACACATCGCTTATGACCTCTGACCTTTGGGGTAGTCTGTTTTGAGCATCAGTGCAGTCCTGTGTTTCAGGGCTGCTGTGTCCGGGCTGGTGTGTTGGTCTGGCTGCAGACTGCTGGCTTCTCCGAAGTTCTCCATCAGGATCCTCAACAGGACCGTTAGGTCATCCTGACTCAGGGCAACCTGGGGAGAACAGAGAGGATGTAGCTGTAGCTAATGCTAATGGTCGCTAATGCTAATGTCACTAATACTAGTTAACCTGAAGAGACAAGAACAGAGAGGATGTAGCTGTAGCTAATGCTAATGGTCGCTAATGCTAATGTCACTAATACTAGTTAACCTGAAGAGACAAGCACAGAGAGGATGTAGCTGTAGCTAATGATAATGGTCGCTAATGCTAATGTCACTAATACTAGTTAACCTGAAGAGACAAGCACAGAGAGGATGTAGCTGTAGCTAATGCTAATGGTCGCTAATGCTAATGTCACTAATACTAGGTAACCTGAAGAGACACAAGCACAGAGAGGATGGAGCCGTAGCGAATGCTAATGTTGCTGTTGCTAAAGCCAATAATGCTGTAGCTAATGCCGCGTTCACATCATGTCGGAGTGATCGGAGGAACGACTTGTTACTTCGGAGGAACAACTTGGAGCGTTCACTTGCTCGGAGATCAGAAGGAACGCAAGAACCATTCTTACAATTTACAGACGAAATCGCGGCAATGTTTGTTGCCATTTTCAGTGGTGCGTGACGGCAGAGTTCAGCATGTGGGAAATATCGGGGTCCAGAGATCATACCCGAGATTTATAGTCATAATTACGAGTTGGAGGGGCGTTCACGTGAATTTTTCCCAGTAGGAAGGTCACATTTACGAGTTCCCGACATGACGTGAACGCGGCATAAGGACATACAAAGTTGATTTACTGTTTAACATATTTCATTTTTTTTTAAAGTGAGGCGAGCGAGCAAATTAAATAAAAATATAAACAATTTGGAACCCCTTGTAAAAATCAGAAACAACCTTAGCACAACACCTAGTGACATTACCAAGAGATTTTAATATTTTGGTATAATGGTTTTGGAATGACAGTCACAGAAACCACAGTGCCTTGCCTTGATTATCTTGATTAAAAGAATCGATTCATATTCATTTTAGTCATTTAGCAGACGCTCTTATCCAGAGCGACTTACAGGAGCAATTAGGGTTAAGTGCCTCGCTCACGGGCACATCTACAGATTTTTCACCTAGTCGGCTCGGGGATTCGAACCAGCGACCTTTCGGTTACTGGCCCAACGCTCTTAACCGCTAGGCTTTGATTATCTTACTGTCCAGCCCTAGAGTACTGTAGCATGTACCTTGCATTCCATACCTGGCTGCAAGCAGAAGCCAAATGTTAGTTAGTGTGACTAAAATCATCAAAGCTCAGCTGTTATGGGTTCAAGGAACAAAGTTACTTCAAGTCTAAAGGAAGGTGACGACGTCGCACGAGTTTAACTAGCCACAACTCACCAATACCATTCTCCCATCAGAGGTCAACCAATCAGAATGACTAAATCATGAAAGCTCAGCTATTATGATTTGAAGGAAATAGTTCCTTCAAGGTATCAGGGAGGGTGACATTACTGCACGAGTAAAGCTAGCTACAATCAGCTTCTCTGCTACAACACAAAGATCTTGGTATCAAAACAGATCTTTTTTCTAACCACTCCCTTTTCGAGGGGAAGACGTGATTGCAGTTCCTGTTGGCTCCTACCTTCATGGGCTTGAGGTCTCCATCAACCTCTACGGCAGCCATCTTGTGGTACCATGCTGCAGCCAGGTTCCTCTTCACTTTTAGGACCAGGTTGACCGGCTCCAGCAGCTCGGTACTGGGCTGAGAGTCTGTTTCCATGGAAATCCTAATGAGAGAAAGAACAGCGAATTATAGACAGGGATAACTAGACCACAGTATACAGTATTAGGCTGGTATCCAGACTTTCATACCTTCATACCGTTCCTGTACCACACCAGGGGTACGGTATTACCGGCAGTACACACCAGGGGTACGGTATTACCGGCAGTGCACACCAGGGGTACGGTATTACCGGCAGTACACACCAGGGATACGGTAATTACCGGCAGTGCACACCAGGGGTACGGTATACGGCAGTGCACACCAGGGAACGGTATCCGGCAGTTGCAACCAGGAACGGATTTACCGGCCAGTGCACACAGGGGTACGTATTACCGGCAGTGCCACACCAGGGGTACGGTATTACCGGCAGTGCACACCAGGGGTACGGTATTACCGGCAGTGCACACCAGGGATACGGTATTACCGGCAGTGCACACCGGGGATACGGTATTACCGGCAGTGCACACCAGGGATACGGTATTACCGGCAGTGCACACCAGGGGTACGGTATTACCGGCAGTGCACACCAGGGATACGGTATTACCGGCAGTGCACACCAGGGGTACGGTATTACCGGCAGTGCACACCAGGGGTACGGTATTACCGGCAGTGCACACCAGGGGTACGGTATTACCGGCAGTGCACACCAGGGGTACGGTATTACCGGCAGTGCACACCAGGGTACGGTTTACCGGCAGTCACACCAGGGTACGGTATTACCGGCAGTGCACACCAGGGGTACGGTATTACCGGCAGTGCACACCAGGGATACGGTATTACCGGCAGTGCACACCAGGGGTACGGTATTACCGGCAGTGCACACCAGGGATACGGTATTACCGGCAGTACACACCAGGGATACGGTATTACCGGCAGTACACACCAGGGGTACGGTATTACTTTTTCTTTTTTTTTCTTTTTTTTTTACTCACAAAACAAATTTAGGCAGCAAATTGATCCAGGAGGGGATTGATTGTCTCTGCTGTAACCAAGAAGCTTGATCTTGCAAGCTAGCCACTTAGCTAGCAAGTTAGAGAACCAAACGCATAGCTGGAGCCCTGAGCTGGAGATCATTTATTTGACACATCTTAGATAGTTAACGTATAGTTATAAGCGGTGGCGTAGCATGCACTCCCCGGGCTTCATGGCGCCACGCATAATTTCTTTACGGAATTGAAAATCATACCGCGTGTATTTCAAAATACCCCAGTCTACGGTATGAACAGTATAGTGCCCAAGCCTATACAGTAAGACCACTATTGAACCAGCCAGTTTCTTTGAGAAGTAACTCTTACAACGCTAACTAACGCTAGTCAAATAGGTTTCTTTGAGAAGCAACTGTTACAACTCAAATCAATCAATCAAATGTATTTATGAAGCCTTTTTTACATCAGCAGTTGTCACAGAGTGCGTATACAGAAACCACAGAAAGCAAGCAATGCAGATGTAGAGGCACGGTGGCTAAGAAAAACTCCCTAGAAAGGCAGGAACCTAGAGAGGAAGCAGGCTCTGAGGGGTGGCCAGTCCTCTTCTGGCTGTACTGGGTAGAGAGGAACCAGGCTCTGAGGGGTGGCCAGTCCTCTTCTGGTTGTACTGGGTAGAGAGGAACCAGGCTATGAGGGGTGACCAGTCCTCTTCTGGCTGTGCTGGGTAGAGAGGAACCAGGCTCTGAGGGGTGGCCAGTCCTCTTCTGGCTGTACTGGGTAGAGAGGAACCAGGCTCTGAGGGGTGGCCAGTCCTCTTCTGGCTGTACTGGGTAGAGAGGAACCAGGCTCTGAGGGGTGGCCAGTCCTCTTCTGGCTGTACTGGGTAGAGAGGAACCAGGCTCTGAGGGGTGGCCAGTCCTCTTCTGGCTGTACTGGGTCGAGAGGAACCAGGCTCTGAGGAGTGGCCAGTCCTCTTCTGGCTGTACTGGGTAGAGAGGAACCAGGCTCTGAGGGGTGGCCAGTCCTCTTCTGGCTGTGCCGGGTCGAGATTATCAGAGAACTAACGGTAGTCAGAGGGTTATTGGAGAACCAACTCTTACAAGTCTAACAACTAACTAACGACGGTAGAGCATCAAACCCTTGCTTTCTGATCTGGGACCAGGCATCAAACCCTTGCTTTCTGATCTGGGACCAGGCATTAAACCCTTGCTTTCTGATCTGGGACCAGGCATCAAACCCTTGCTTTCTGATCTGGGACCAGGCATCAAACCCTTGCTTTCTGATCTGGGACCAGGCATCAAACCCTTGCTTTCTGATCTGGGACCAGGCATCAAACCTTTGCTTTCTGATCTGGGAACAGGCATCAAACCTTTGCTTTCTGATCTGGGACCAGGCATTACATTTTAAATTTTAGTCATTTAGCAGACACTCTTATCCAGAGCGACTTACAGTTAGTGAGTGCATACATTATTTGTTTTATTTTTCATACTGGCCCCCCGTGGGAATCGAACCCACAACCCTGGCGTTGCAAACGCCATGCTCTACCAACTGAGCTACATCCCTGCCGGCCATTCCCTCCCCTACCCTGGACGACGCTGGGCCAATTGTGCGCCGCCCCATGGGTCTCCCGGTTGCGGCCGGCTACGACAGAGCCTGGATTCGAACCAGGATCTCTAGTGGCACAGCTAGCACTGCGATGCAGTGCCTTAGACCAGTGCTTTCTGCACTGATGAAGCAGAAGATGACTGCGTTAACAGAATGCACTGACCTGGACAGTTTGAGCTGTGTGAGCTGTACGTCCATGTGGTCAATGACAGCAGGAAGGGGACATCCCTCCACAGCAAGTAGAGAGAAACTGTTGCCCACGGTGATGAGCCCCAGGTCCACCTCCAGTGCATTGTGGGAGGTGGAGGACTGAGGGATGATGATGAGTGGGGCCTTCAGCTTGATGTCCATGGAGAGACGGAAGCTCTTCTGGGCAAAGTCCCTGATGCTGGAGGCTGCCTTCTCTGCTGCCTGGGCCGTGGCCGCACTAAGCGCCTCTTTGGCTGTCTGGAAGTTGTTGCTGAAATGCTATAAGATACGGAAAACACGGATGAGTGAAGTTCTTTACAGGTCAGAAAGCAATGGAGCGGCATCAACAGCGGAGACCTAGCTAGGATTGCAAAAACTCCGGAAACTTCTATTTTTTTTCAGAAATCCCAGTTGGATGATTCCTGGAATCAGTAAAGTATCCCTTAACTGGGAATCATCCAACCAAGATTTCTGAAGAACCCAGGAACTTTAGAAGAGATTCTGGAATTTTTCAATCCTAGACCTAACTGAAGAAAAAAGAGTCTCTGCACACTTAAATACAAAGATCAGTTTTAAATACTCAGACGATTGTCAAGAGATTTCTCCAGCACCAACGCTGAGACTCACCAGCAAAGACATGACAAACTTGTGGAGGTAGATGACTTGGATGCAGCCCACGTTGAGCTTGACCTTCCCATCTGTTTTGGAGGTGTCTGTGTAGCCGTCTCCCTCTGTGGCTTTGGGGGTCAGACTCATAGTGAAACTAAACACCTCATCTCCTACGATAGAGATGGCCTGCAAGCGAGAACCACACGTTAGCAGGTAAACTGAACTGCAATATTTCACGGTTCCACGATACAGTGTACCGCCCAAATCTCACTCTTTTATGGTTTTGCTTCCTTGACTTACCTTTTTGTGAATACTTTTTGGATCAACATTAATAACGATGAAATCCCGAAGGCGGGTAGAGATGTGGGTTTGGGGCCCTTGCATCAGGAGGCATCCATTGAAACCTGTACAACAAGATACAATGTTTATCTGATGCTGACATCATTTCAGAAAGAGCAAACCATACAAGCACAAGACACTTAAATTACAACAAACAGATAAAGTATTTCATCATATTCAAACCTTAGCTGAAATCCCTTGCAAAAGCCATAGATGATAAAGCAAAATAAAAGATTTTAAAAAACATACAAATACAAAACAATATATATATAAAACACATGAAAATTAAAAATATACTCGAAAAAAAAAATATATAAAAAAAATGATTAAAAAATATATATATAATACAAATAACAAATAAATTAAAAAAATGTATACAAATGTAAAGTGGTTATCCCACTGGCTATCATAAGGTGAATGCACCAATTTGTAAGTCGCTCTGGATAAGAGCGTCTGCTAAATGACGTAAAATGTAAAATGATTCTCAAATGAAAGTGTAGTTGTATAAAGAGAACACTGCATGGGCCCGAGGTTCTTTCTGTATCCGTACCTTGTATCTTAATGTCGGCCATGTTGCAGCTCCGATCACACACTAGGACGTTGAACGCCCCCAGCTGCATCATTACCTTCAGGTCGATGACGTCACTGTCTGATGGAGAACCTAGAGCCGCTGTCATGGAAGTGGACAGAAAAGTCACGTGATTTCATTACTGGTTGCCCAACCAAAGAGACATGTAAGGTAGTCCTTAGGTCTTAGAATACGTTATACAGTGCATTCGGAAAGTATTCAGACACTTTGCTATGAGACTCGAAATTGAGCTCAGGTGCATTCTGTTTCGATTGATCATCCTTGAGATGTTTCCACAACTTGATTGGAGTCCACCTGCAAATGTATTAAAAATAAAAAACTGAAATATAACATTTACATAAGTATTCAGACCCTTTACTCAGTACTTTGTTGAAGCACCTTTGGCAGCAATTACAACCTTGAGTCTTCTTGGGTATGACGCTACAAGCTTGGCACACCTGTATTTGGGGAGTTTCTCCCATTCTTCTCGGCTGATCCTCTCAAGCTCTGTCAGGTTGGATGGGGAGTGTCGCTGCACAGCTATTTTCAGGTCTCTCCAGAGATGTTCGATCGGGTTCAAGTCCGGGCTCTGGCTGGGCCACTCAAGGACATTCAGAGACTTGTCCCGAAGCCACTCCTGCATTGTCTTGGCTGTGTGCTTAGGGTCGTTGTTCTGTTGGAAGGTGAACCTTCGCCCCAGTCTGAGGTCCTGAGAGCTCTGGAGTAGGTTTTCATCAAGGATCTCTCTGTACTTTGCTCCGTTCATCTTTCCCTCGATCCTGACTAGTCTCCCAGTCCCTGCCGCTGAAAAACATCCCCACAGCATGATGCTGCTACCACCATGCTTCACCGTAGGGATGGGTGCCAGGTTTCCTCCAGACGTAGACGCTTGGCATTCAGGCCAAAGAGTTCAATCTTGGTTTCATCAGACCAGAGAATCTTGTTTCTCATGGTCTGAAAGTCCTTTAGGTGCCTTTTGGCAAACTCCAAGCGGTCTGTCATGTGCCTTTTACTGAGGAGTGGCTTCCGTCTGGCCGCTCTACCATAAAGGCCTGATTGGTGGATTGCTGCAGAGATACTTGTCCTTCTGGAAGGTTCTCCCATCTCCACAGAGGAACTCTGGAGCTCTGTCAGTGTGACCATCGGGTTCTTGGTCACCTCCCTGACCAAGGCCATTCTCCCCCGATTGTTCAGTTTGGCCGGGCGGCCAGCTCTAGGAAGAGTCTTGGTGGTTCCAAACCTCTTCCATTTAAGAATGATGGAGGCCACTGTGTTCTTGGGGACCTTCAATGCTGCAAAAAAAACGTGATACCCTTCCCCAGATCTGTGCCTCGACACAATCCTGTCTCGGAGCTCTACGGACAATTAATTTGACCTCAAGGCTTGGTTTTTGCTCTGACATGCACTTTCAACTGTGGGACCTTATATAGACAGGTGTGTGCCTTTCCAAATCATGTCCAATCAATTGAATTTACCACAGGTGGACTCCAAATCAAGTTGTAGAAACATCTCAAGGATGATCAATGGAAACATGATGTACCCAAGCTAAATTTCGAGTCTCGTATCAAAGGGTCTGAATACTTATGTAAATAAGGTATTTCTGTTTTTTATTTGTTATAAATTTGCTAACATTTCTAAAAACCTGTTTTCGCTTTGTCATTATGGGGTATGGTCTGTAGATTAATGAGGATAAAACATTAATTTAATCCATATTAGAATAAGGCTGTAACGTAACACAATGTGGAAAAAGGGAAAGGGGTCTGAATACTTTTCGAATGCACTGTATGTAATGAAATGAATGTTATGTTGTATTACTAACGTGAAAACCAATACAAAAATATCCAAGCGGAATCTGTTATATCTGTCATTTTAATGTGTATCCGTTCCTGTATTCCAGATGACTGAAAAGGACCGGTTAGGTAGTCAAGGGCATTATCATGTACGGTGCATTCGGAAAGTATTCAGACCAAAAAATTCAAAACAATTGCCCAGCACTGGGAGCGAACTCGTGATGCTAGGAGCCGGAGCGCACTGCTTAGAATGATTAGACCACCGCGCTACCACCGCAGTTCACAATGCTCCAGCAAGTCGCCAGAATACTTGATCGTAACAGTGTGGTCCTCTGTAGCTCAGCTGGTAGAGCACGGCGCTTGTAACGCCAAGGTAGTGGGTTCGATCCCCGGGACCACCCATACGTAAAAATGTATGCGCACATGACTGTAAGTCGCTTTGGATAAAAGCGTCTGCTAAATGGCATATTATCATATTATTATAATAGCGCGTCCTTTTTAAACAATATAATTAATACCTAAACTTTAACTCTTTGAGTTGATTCTGTTTTAACAGAAAGGGAAACCATGAGATCTTGTTGGTATAAAGTGTTTGTACTGACTTGGTGAAGACGGCCCTCCTCTCCTTTGTCTTGTGCCCTGAGTGCAGACTGTTGAGTGTGTGTTTGCTTATAGTGTGTGTGTGTGTGTGTGTGTGTGTGTGTGTGTGTGTGTGTGTGTGTGTGTGTGTGTGTGTGTGTGTGTGTGTGTCAATCTGTACAGTGTGTGTCCAGTGTGTTGTGTCCTTGTGTAATGTATATTCTGTGTTTACTTGACTTGGTGGAGACCGGCCTGCTGCTCTCCTCAGACTTCTGTTTAGGCTCCTCTGGTGAGGGGGGCAGGCTGCCGGAGGACAGAGCTGAAGACAGGAAGTCTATGGTGGAGAGGAGAGCCTCAGTGTGGAGCAGTAGATCCAGGGAAGTAAAGGTCACCTACAGGAGGGTGGGACGGGGGGACGGGGGGAGAGGGGGAGAGAGAGAGAGAGAGAGAGAGAGAGAGAGAGAGAGAGAGAGAGAGAGAGAGAGAGAGAGAGAGAGAGAGAGAGAGAGAGAGAGAGCCTCTTAACCAAGTCACATGGACTGTGACGATCAGACGGTAAATCAAAGGAGCCGTTTGAGGTCTTAGAGAACAGGAGAACAGGGAGATGTCGGCAGGCTTCACAGACCTCTCAGATGCCCATTCAACAACCACCAGGATACATCAGCACGGCCGCTGAATTTATAAACGCACAAGTGAATCTATCTAACATAAGACACATATCAGAACCTGTTCCAGCGAGCACAACTAGTAAATGCTAGTTTAAAAACAGAACTGGTTGGAATCTGGTTGAAATTATGTCATTTCATTTTGCCCGCTTGGGTGTACGGGACAAAAGGTGGCATTTGTGGAGAATAGAATGATTAGATATCATTACTTACATTGATCATCTGCTCAGTATTCTTGTGAACAGTGGCAAAGTTTGGCCTATTTCTGTCAGCCTGAGAAGAAAGAAAACACAAATCAATTAGTAGTCATTTAGAGGTAATGGAAACACAATGAAAACACATATCAATTAGCAGTCATTTAGAGGTAATGGAAACACAATGAAAACGCAAATCAATTAGCAGTCATTTAGGGGTAATGGAACCACAATGAAAACACAAATCGATCCCAATCACAAAACATTAGCAGTTGTTAAACGCTCAAAGTAACACAGTGTAGAATTTGACTAGGCCTACTCATGGCTCCTTAGAAATACAGCTTTTGTAACTAGGACCACCGCTTCTGAAAACCATTCATTTGGAAAAGAAGATACACTTTGAATCAATCCTATAAAACACGTCGATCTTACTAAGATAACAGTGATGATCCCGTTATCAGACCCTTGGTGCCAGGCACCACCACGTCTGCAGAGCGCCATGGGGCTGTGTCTACAATGGCACCCTACTCCTATATAGTACACTACTTTTGACAAAGGGCCGGCACAGGGTTCTGGTTAAAATTAGTGCACAAAATTAGTGCACTGTATATATGTGGTCCTCTGTAGCTCAGCTGGTAGAGCACGGCGCTTGTAACGCCAAGGTAGTGGGTTCGATCCCCGGGACCACCCATACACAAAAATGTATGCATGCACGACTGTAAGTCGCTTTGGATAAAAGTGTCTGCTAAATGGCATATTATTATTATTATTATTATTATATGGAATATGGTGCCATTTTGGACACAGGCCCAGGTCTGGAGAGTGCCCTGGTCTATTGTGTTGATAATTACAGTGATAATGTAACGCCGTCCTGCACAGTATCTCCAACTGACGTTGGGGCCGCGGGAAGAAGCTGACATTGAGCCAGACGTCTTTGGGTTGTATTGACACTAGAGTCTGCTGCCTGGCAACAGAACACATGTCCACAGAGAGAGGGACATATGGCCGGGGGTTTCTGAACAGCTATAACACACTATCATTCATATAACCACAGTACAGTGACGATGGTGATTCTGGGAAAGGGCCTCTTTGTATTTTTGAAGAATTCTTATCTGAAAATTCCTATTTTAGGAAAGGTTCATGAAGGTGTTTCATTGGGTATTTATTAACTTAATGACGTCAACGCTTCAATTTCCAAAGTTATCAAATAATTCCAGAACTGTAGGGGGAAGTCGAGTGTTCCATTGAACCTGTATCGACTTTGTATTTGCTCTTATACAAGGCTTTAATAATAATAATAAGACTCCATGAGAATATTCCATTAAAGCAAAGTGCTTTGCATTTTGTTGACTTAGTGTGGACTTTAGCAAGAACTCTCAATCTTTATATAGCCAATCAATACACAGAGCACAAGGTCAAATCAAGAACACTGTAAGTACTACAGACTGTACTAGAGGTATAGACTGTACTAGAGGTATAGACTGTACTAGAGGTATAGACTGAACTAGAGGTATAGACTGTACTAGAGGTATAGACTGAACTAGAGGTATAGACTGAACTAGAGGTATAGACTGTACTGTAGACTGTACTAGAGGTATAGACTGTACTAGAGGTATAGACTGAACTAGAGGTATAGACTGTACTAGAGGTATAGACTGTACTAGAGGTATAGACTGTCCTAGAGGTATAGACTGTACTAGAGGTATAGACTGTACTGTAGACTGTACTAGAGGTATAGACTGCACTAGAGGTATAGACTGTACTAGAGGTATAGACTGTACTAGAGGTATAGACTGTACTAGAGGTATAGACTGTACTATAGACTGTACTAGAGGTATAGACTGTACTAGAGGTATAGACTGTACTAGAGGTATAGACTGTACTAGAGGTATAGACTGTACTATAGACTGTACTAGAGGTATAGACTGTACTAGAGGTATAGACTGTACTGTAGACTGTACTAGAGGTATAGACTGTACTAGAGGTATAGACTGTAGTATAGACTGTACTAGAGGTATAGACTGTAGTATAGACTGTACTAGAGGTATAGACTGTACTAGAGGTATAGACTGTACTGTAGACTGTACTAGAGGTATAGACTGTACTAGAGGTATAGACTGTACTAGAGGTATAGACTGTACTAGAGGTATAGAGTGAACTAGAGGTATAGACTGTCCTGTAGACTGTACTAGAGGTATAGACTGTACTAGAGGTATAGACTGTACTAGAGGTATAGACTGTACTGTAGACTGTACTAGAGGTATAGACTATACTAGAGGTATAGACTGAACTATAGGTATAGACTGTAGTATAGACTGTACTAGAGGTATAGACTGTACTAGAGGTATAGACTGTACTAGAGGTATAGACTGAACTAGAGGTATAGACTGTACTAGAGGTATAGACTGTACTAAAGGTATAGACTGTACTAGAGGTATAGACTGTAATAGAGGTATAGACTGTACTGTAGACTGTACTAGAGGTATAGACTGTACTAGAGGTATAGACTGTACTAGAGGTATAGACTGTACTAGAGGTATAGACTGAACTAGAGGTATAGACTGTACTAGAGGTATAGACTGAACTAGAGGTATAGACTGAACTAGAGGTATAGACTGTACTGTAGACTGTACTAGAGGTATAGACTGTACTAGAGGTATAGACTGAACTAGAGGTATAGACTGTACTAGAGGTATAGACTGTACTAGAGGTATAGACTGTCCTAGAGGTATAGACTGTACTAGAGGTATAGACTGTACTGTAGACTGTACTAGAGGTATAGACTGCACTAGAGGTATAGACTGTAGTATAGACTGTACTAGAGGTATAGACTGTACTAGAGGTATAGACTGTACTAGAGGTATAGACTGTACTAGAGGTATAGACTGTACTGTAGACTGTACTAGAGGTATAGACTGTACTAGAGGTATAGACTGTAGTATAGACTGTACTAGAGGTATAGACTGTAGTATAGACTGTACTAGAGGTATAGACTGTACTAGAGGTATAGACTGTACTGTAGACTGTACTAGAGGTATAGACTGTACTAGAGGTATAGACTGTACTAGAGGTATAGACTGTACTAGAGGTATAGAGTGAACTAGAGGTATAGACTGTCCTGTAGACTGTACTAGAGGTATAGACTGTACTAGATGTATAGACTGTACTAGAGGTATAGACTGTACTGTAGACTGTACTAGAGGTATAGACTATACTAGAGGTATAGACTGAACTATAGGTATAGACTGTAGTATAGACTGTACTAGAGGTATAGACTGTACTAGAGGTATAGACTGTACTAGAGGTATAGACTGAACTAGAGGTATAGACTGTACTAGAGGTATAGACTGTACTAAAGGTATAGACTGTACTAGAGGTATAGACTGTAATAGAGGTATAGACTGTACTGTAGACTGTACTAGAGGTATAGACTGTACTAGAGGTATAGACTGTACTAGAGGTATAGACTGTACTGTAGACTGTACTAGAGGTATAGACTGTACTAGAGGTATAGACTGTACTAGAGGTATAGACTGTACTAAAGGTATAGACTGTACTAGAGGTATAGACTGTACTAGAGGTATAGACTGTACTAGAGGTATAGAGTGAACTAGAGGTATAGACTGTCCTGTAGACTGTACTAGAGGTATAGACTGTACTAGAGGTATAGACTGTACTAGAGGTATAGACTGTACTGTAGACTGTACTAGAGGTATAGACTGTACTAGAGGTATAGACTGTACTGTAGACTGTACTAGAGGTATAGACTGTACTAGAGGTATAGACTGAACTAGAGGTATAGACTGTACTATAGACTGTACTAGAGGTATAGACTGTACTAGAGGTATAGACTGTACTGTAGACTGTATTAGAGGTATAGACTGTACTAGAGGTATAGACTGTACTAGAGGTATAGACTGTACTGTAGACTGTACTAGAGGTATAGACTGTATTAGAGGTATAGACTGTACTATAGACTGTGCTAGAGGTATAGACTGTACTAGAGGTATAGACTGTACTATAGACTGAACTAAAGGTATACACTGTACTAGAGGTATAGACTGTACTAGAGGTATAGACTGAACTAGAGGTATAGACTGAACTAGAGGTATAGACTGTACTAGAGGTATAGACTGTACTGTAGACTGTACTAGAGGTATAGACTGTACTAGAGGTATAGACTGCACTAGAGGTATATACTGTACTGTAGACTGTACTAGAGGTATAGACTGTACTAGAGGTATAGACTGTACTGTAGACTGTACTAGAGGTATAGACTGTATTAGAGGTATAGACTGTACTATAGACTGTGCTAGAGGTATAGACTGTACTAGAGGTATAGACTGTACTATAGACTGAACTAAAGGTATAGACTGTACTAGAGGTATAGACTGTACTAGAGGTATAGACTGTACTAGAGGTATAGACTGAACTAGAGGTATAGACTGAACTAGAGGTATAGACTGTACTAGAGGTATAGACTGTACTGTAGACTGTACTAGAGGTATAGACTGTACTAGAGGTATAGACTGCACTAGAGGTATAGACTGTACTGTAGACTGTACTAGAGGTATAGACTGTACTAGAGGTATAGACTGTACTGTAGACTGTACTAGAGGTATAGACTGTACTAGAGGTATAGACTGTACTAGAGGTATAGACTGAACTAGAGGTATAGACTGTAGTATAGACTGTACTAGAGGTATAGACTGTACTGTAGACTGTACTAGAGGTATAGACTGTACTAGAGGTATAGACTGTACTGTAGACTGTACTAGAGGTATAGACTGTACTAGAGGTATAGACTGCACTAGAGGTATAGACTGTACTGTAGACTGTACTAGAGGTATAGACTGAACTAGAGGTATAGACTGTAGTATAGACTGTACTAGAGGTATAGACTGTACTAGAGGTATAGACTGTACTAGAGGTATAGACTGTACTAGAGGTATAGACTGTACTAGAGGTATAGACTGTACTGTAGACTGTACTAGAGGTATAGACTGCACTAGAGGTATAGACTGTAGTATAGACTGTACTAGAGGTATAGACTGTACTAGAGGTATAGACTGTACTAGAGGTATAGACTGTACTATAGACTGTACTAGAGGTATAGACTGTACTAGAGGTATAGACTGTACTGTAGACTGTACTAGAGGTATAGACTGTACTAGAGGTATAGACTGTAGTATAGACTGTACTAGAGGTATAGACTGTAGTATAGACTGTACTAGAGGTATAGACTGTACTAGAGGTATAGACTGTACTAGAGGTATAGACTGTACTAGAGGTATAGACTGTACTAGAGGTATAGACTGTACTAGAGGTATAGAGTGAACTAGAGGTATAGACTGTCCTGTAGACTGTACTAGAGGTATAGACTGTACTAGAGGTATAGACTGTACTAGAGGTATAGACTGTACTGTAGACTGTACTAGAGGTATAGACTATACTAGAGGTATAGACTGAACTATAGGTATAGACTGTAGTATAGACTGTACTAGAGGTATAGACTGTACTAGAGGTATAGACTGTACTAGAGGTATAGACTGAACTAGAGGTATAGACTGTACTAGAGGTATAGACTGTACTAAAGGTATAGACTGTACTAGAGGTATAGACTGTACTAGAGGTATAGACTGTACTGTAGACTGTACTAGAGGTATAGACTGTACTAGAGGTATAGACTGTACTAGAGGTATAGACTGTACTGTAGACTGTACTAGAGGTATAGACTGTACTAGAGGTATAGACTGTACTAGAGGTATAGACTGTACTAAAGGTATAGACTGTACTAGAGGTATAGACTGTACTAGAGGTATAGACTGTACTAGAGGTATAGACTGTACTGTAGACTGTACTAGAGGTATAGACTGTACTAGAGGTATAGACTGAACTAGAGGTATAGACTGTACTATAGACTGTACTAGAGGTATAGACTGTACTAGAGGTATAGACTGTACTGTAGACTGTATTAGAGGTATAGACTGTACTAGAGGTATAGACTGTACTAGAGGTATAGACTGTACTGTAGACTGTACTAGAGGTATAGACTGTATTAGAGGTATAGACTGTACTATAGACTGAACTAAAGGTATAGACTGTACTAGAGGTATAGACTGTACTAGAGGTATAGACTGTACTATAGACTGAACTAAAGGTATACACTGTACTAGAGGTATAGACTGTACTAGAGGTATAAACTGAACTAGAGGTATAGACTGAACTAGAGGTATAGACTGTACTAGAGGTATAGACTGTACTGTAGACTGTACTAGAGGTATAGACTGTACTAGAGGTATAGACTGCACTAGAGGTATAGACTGTACTGTAGACTGTACTAGAGGTATAGACTGTACTAGAGGTATAGACTGTACTGTAGACTGTACTAGAGGTATAGACTGTATTAGAGGTATAGACTGTACTATAGACTGTGCTAGAGGTATAGACTGTACTAGAGGTATAGACTGTACTATAGACTGTACTAGAGGTATAGACTGTACTAGAGGTATAGACTGTACTATAGACTGAACTAAAGGTATAGACTGTACTAGAGGTATAGACTGTACTAGAGGTATAGACTGTACTAGAGGTATAGACTAGACTAGAGGTATAGACTGAACTAGAGGTATAGACTGTACTAGAGGTATAGACTGTACTGTAGACTGTACTAGAGGTATAGACTGTACTAGAGGTATAGACTGCACTAGAGGTATAGACTGTACTGTAGACTGTACTAGAGGTATAGACTGTACTAGAGGTATAGACTGTACTGTAGACTGTACTAGAGGTATAGACTGTACTAGAGGTATAGACTGTACTAGAGGTATAGACTGAACTAGAGGTATAGACTGTAGTATAGACTGTACTAGAGGTATAGACTGTACTGTAGACTGTACTAGAGGTATAGACTGTACTGTAGACTGTACTAGAGGTATAGACTGTACTAGAGGTATAGACTGCACTAGAGGTATAGACTGTACTGTAGACTGTACTAGAGGTATATACTGAACTAGAGGTATAGACTGTAGTATAGACTGTACTAGAGGTATAGACTGTACTAGAGGTATAGACTGTACTAAAGGTATAGACTGTACTAGAGGTATAGACTGTACTAGAGGTATAGACTGTACTAGAGGTATAGACTGTACTGTAGACTGTACTAGAGGTATAGACTGTACTAGAGGTATAGACTGAACTAGAGGTATAGACTGTACTAAAGGTATAGACTGTACTAGAGGTATAGACTGTACTAGAGGTATAGACTGTACTAGAGGTATAGACTGTACTAGAGGTATAGACTGTACTGTAGACTGTACTAGAGGTATAGACTATACTAGAGGTATAGACTGAACTAGAGGTATAGACTGTACTAGAGGTATAGACTGTACTAGAGGTATAGACTGTACTAGAGGTATAGACTGTACTATAGACTGAACTAGAGGTATAGACTGCACTAGAGGTATAGACTGCACTAGAGGTATAGACTGCACTAGAGGTATAGACTGTACTAGAGGTATAGACTGTACTGTAGACTGTACTAGAGGTATAGACTGTACTAGAGGTATAGACTGTACTAGAGGTATAGACTGCACTAGAGGTATAGACTGTACTAGAGGTATAGACTGTACTAGAGGTATAGACTGTACTGTAGACTGTACTAGAGGTATAGACTGTATTAGAGGTATAGACTGTACTATAGACTGTGCTAGAGGTATAGACTGTACTAGAGGTATAGACTGTACTATAGACTGAACTAAAGGTATAGACTGTACTAGAGGTATAGACTGTACTAGAGGTATAGACTGTACTAGAGGTATAGACTGAACTAGAGGTATAGACTGTACTAGAGGTATAGACTGTACTGTAGACTGTACTAGAGGTATAGACTGTACTAGAGGTATAGACTGTACTAGAGGTATAGACTGTACTATAGACTGAACTAAAGGTATAGACTGTACTAGAGGTATAGACTGTACTAGAGGTATAGACTGTCCTAGAGGTATAGACTGTACTAGAGGTATAGACTGTACTAGAGGTATAGACTGAGTATACAAAACATTAGGAACACCACATGATTTGATTTGATTTGACCTGCTCTTTCCATGACAGACTGACCAGGTGAAAGCTGTGATCCCTTATTGATGTCACTTGTTAAATCCACTTCAATCAGCGTAGATGAAGGGGAGGAGACGGGTTAAATAATTATTTAAGCCTTCAGACAATTGAGACATGGATTGTGTATGTGTGCCATTCAGAGGGTGAATGGGCAAGACAAAAGATGTAAGTGCCTTTGAACGGGGTATGGTAGTAGGTGCCAGGCGCACCGGTTTGTGTCATAGAACTGCAACGCTGCTGGGTTTTGACGCTCAACAGTTTCTCGTGTGTATCAAGAACAGTCCACCACCCAAAGGACATCCAGCCAACTTGACACAACTGTGGGAAGCATTGGAGTCAACATGGGCCAAGCATCCCTGTGGGAAGCATTGGAGTCAACATGGGCCAAGCATCCCTGTGGAACGCTTTCGACACCTTGTAGAGGCCATGCCTCGACAAATTGAGGCTGTTCTGAGAGCAAAACGGGGGGTGGAACTCAATATTAGGAAGGTGTACACTCAGTGTATAACAAAATAAGTAGGCGTGTCCCACCTTGAAGTATTCCACTTTGAGTAGGTCAGCACCAGACTCCACCGAGGAACTGACCAGACACAGTGGTTCACCGCTGGAATCTATACAACAGGAGAATGAAAATCAATGGCATTCTGATTTACCAACTACAACACTGGGATGTGTTATGGGTATTTCATTATCTAACAAGAATGTCAGACCAGTTTAAATCATGGTAACTATTGTATTCAGTATTTAAGTATTTAAACATGTGAGGCTAAAGCCACCGATCTGAGAATCCGAGGTACATCATGGTCATCTTCTTGACGTACAGTGCCTTCGGAAAGTATTCAGACCCCTTGACTTTTTCCACATTTTGTTACAGTCTTATTCTAAAATTGATTAAATCGTTTTTTTCCCCTCATCAATCTACACACAATACCCCATAATGACAAAGCAAAAACAGGTTTTTAGAAATGTTTGCTAATTTATTACAAATAAAACAATTAAATATCACATTTACATAAGTATTCAGACCCTTTACTCAGTACTTTGTTGAAGCACCTTTGGCAGCGATTACAGCCTTGATTCTTCTTGGGTATGAAGCTGTTTTCGCTTTGTCATTACGGGGTATTGTGAGTAGATTGCTGAGGAAATGTTTTTATTTAAATCCTTTTTAGAATAAGGCTGTAACGTAACAAAATGTGGAAAAAGTCAAGGGTTCTGAATACTTTCCGAAGGCACTGTACGCTGTGGCCACCATGTCATATTAACTATCGTATTCAACATGCATTATAAAGTCTAGCCTATAGCATTAAAACTTGACAGGCTAAAGCCACCGACCTGGGAATTCCAGGCACTTCATGGAGATCTTCTTGATGTACGTTGTGGCCACCATGTCATACTTCCTGACATTGGTGTGGATGCCCAGCTGGGCGACGTGGAGAACCAGGAACGGACTCTCCTTCCGATCTGACCTGGACTTCTTCAGCTTCAGAACCACCTGATGGAGAGATTCAACCATATTTAGTCTGCCTTTATTTAACCAGGTTAGTCATTAAGAACACGTTCTCTTCTGTAATAATATCCATATCTTGGTAATAGACAATGAAGGAGATTTGAGTGATGGAAAATAGATACTTTAACCCGTTTAAACTGCATCAACATCCAACAGCACAAAGAGCCATTTTATTTCCCTTGGTGCTGCATTACAGTACTAAAGCTACAGCATACGGACCACTGTGTTCATTAGCCACCTCATTTAAAGCCCAACGGACCACTGTGTTCATTAGCCACCTCATTTAAAGCCCAACGGACCACTGTGTTCATTAGCCACCTCATTTAAAGCCCAACGGACCACTGTGTTCATTAGCCACCTCATTAAAGCCCAACGGACCACTGTGTTCATTAGCCACCTCATAAAAGCTGAACGGACCACTGTGTTCATTAGCCACCTCATTTAAAGCCCAACGGACCACTGTGTTCATTAGCCACCTCATAAAAGCCGAACGGACCACTGTGTTCATTAGCCACCTCATAAAAGCCGAACGGACCACTGTGTTCATTAGCCACCTCATAAAAGCCGAACGGACCACTGTGTTCATTAGCTACCTCATAAAAGCCCAACGGACCACTGTGTTAATTAGCCACCTCATAAAAGCCGAACGGACCACTGTGTTCATTAGCCACCTAATTTAAAGCCCAACGGACCACTGTGTTCATTAGCCACCTCATAAAAGCCCAACGGACCACTGTGTTCATTAGCCACCTCATTTAAAGCCCAACGGACCACTGTGTTCATTAGCCACCTCATTTAAAGCCCAACGGACCACTGTGTTCATTAGCCACCTCATTTAAAGCCCAACGGACCACTGTGTTCATTAGCCACCTCATTTAAAGCCCAACGGACCACTGTGTTCATTAGCCACCTCATTAAAGCCCAACGGACCACTGTGTTCATTAGCCACCTCATTTAAAGCCCAACGGACCACTGTGTTCATTAGCCACCTCATTTAAAGCCCAACGGACCACTGTGTTCATTAGCCACCTCATTTAAAGCCCAACGGACCACTGTGTTCATTAGCCACCTCATTTAAAGCCCAACGGACCACTGTGTTCATTAGACACCTCACTTAAAGCCCAACGGACCACTGTGTTCATTAGCCACCTCATTTAAAGCCCAACGGACCACTGTGTTCATTAGCCACCTCATTTAAAGCCCAACGGACCACTGTGTTCATTAGCCACCTCATTTAAAGCCCAACGGACCACTGTGTTCATTAGCCACCTCATTTAAAGCCCAACGGACCACTGTGTTCATTAGACACCTCACTTAAAGCCCAACGGACCACTGTGTTCATTAGCCACCTCATTTAAAGCCCAACGGACCACTGTGTTCATTAGCCACCTCATTTAAAGCCCAACGGACCACTGTGTTCATTAGCCACCTCATTTAAAGCCCAACGGACCACTGTGTTCATTAGCCACCTCATTTAAAGCCCAACGGACCACTGTGTTCATTAGCCACCTCATTTAAAGGCCAACGGACCACTGTGTTCATTAGCCACCTCATAAAAGCCCAACGGACCACTGTGTTCATTAGCCACCTCATAAAAGCCGAACGGACCACTGTGTTCATTAGCCACCTCATTAAAGCCCAACGGACCACTGTGTTTATTAGCCACCTCATTTAAAGCCCAACGGACCACTGTGTTCATTAGCCACCTCATTTAAAGCCCAACGGACCACTGTGTTCATTAGCCACCTCATTTAAAGCCCAACGGACCACTGTGTTCATTAGCCACCTCATTAAAGCCCAACGGACCACTGTGTTCATTAGCCACCTCATTTAAAGCCCAACGGACCACTGTGTTCATCAGCCACCTCATAAAAGTCCAACGGACCACTGTGTTCATTAGCCACCTCATTTAAAGCCCAACGGACCACTGTGTTCATTAGCCACCTCATTTAAAGCCCAACGGACCACTGCCCTTATATGGTTAGATAGCTACCTCTTTAATCTCCAGGTTGAGCAGCATATTGACTATGTTTTCCCCCAGTCCTCCTCCATTGGTGGTAGCAGCAGGCTGTCCTCCTCCTCCAGCCTCCACAGGTAGAGACATCACCTCCAGCTGGTGCTTCTCAGCCAGCTCTGCCTTGTCTAGACATTACCAGCAAAGACATTATCATCTGTTCAATATACATTATCTATAGCAATACATGTTCATCTGCATTGCCATCTCTGCTTTCTCTAGACGTTAGAAGAAAAGATTCCAGATTCAAAAACGTTATTGTTCAATCTTGTGGAATGGAAATTTTGTCTTCAGGATTGACATGCATGCAATACATTATCATTTAGCCTGGTTCCCGATCAGTTTATGCTGGTTATTGCATCATAAGAGTTGGCAAGACAGCACAAACTGACCTGGGATCAGCCTAACTATCTACTTTCAGTAAATGTCATTCTGCTTATCAAAGCTGTCCTTCTGGAATGGTTACAGCATTGAAATAGAATCCATAGAACGGAACGTCTAACCCCTGATGGGTACACTTCCTGCTTTTACCTTCTGCTTTGCTAATATGGGTACACTTGCGATGGCCGCCAGTCCACCCATTATGCCACCACTGACTTGAATGGGGACGCCCGTTCTATTCATTCTGTTTCTAAATGGGCCAGGAGTTTTCCCTGACAACAAGATGACCTGACCAGGACGAGGAAAAACTCCAGGCCTTGGTTACAGTGTGTTTGGTGGGTAAGTCACTATGATCTACCTTGGGCTACTTGTTTCTTGACATCCATGATGTGCTCCCTGCTCCCCTCTCCGATGTTCTCCACCAGTATCTTCATCAGAACACCAAAGTCCTCCTGACCAAGAACCATCTGGAGGGAGGAGATTAAAAGATGGAAAACATCTTGATTGGTGTTGATGTACGTCTCCTTTATCTAGATAAAGCTAGATCCCATTTAGATCAAACATCTGTGTTACTAGGTAGATCTGTCCTCGTAGAAGGTACGTTCTGTATCCATAAAACCACAAGCTTTCAGTGAAAGTGGAAGGGGGAAAAAATTGCCCCCCCCCAAAAAAAGAAAATAAATTAAATGGAAGATGCCAACCTACATTCATAGACTTGAGCATTCCTTGGACCTCTACTCCGGGGATCTTGTTGTACCAGGAAGAGGCCAGGTTCCGTTTGACCAGCAGCTCTAAGTTGATTGGCTGAAGGATCTCAATGTCTGGCTGTGGGGAGCCTTGTTTCAGCGTGGTCCTACGGAGAGATGAATAAAAAGTGGGATTACCTAAAATCAGACGACACACACACACTTCAAAGCGCCATGACATTTTTTTTTTGGGGTCTCCTCTGATACCTGGACAGTTTGAGCCGAGTGAGCTTGACATCCATCGTATCCAACACAACGGGGAGCGGGAACCCTTCGGCAGACATCAGACTGAAACTGTTGCCCACGGTGATGAGCCCCAGGTCCACCTCCAGTGCATTGTGGGAGGTGGAGGACTGAGGGATGATGATGAGTGGGGCCTTCAGCTTGATGTCCATGGAGAGACGGAAGCTCTTCTGGGCAAAGTCCCTGATGCTGGAGGCGGCCTTCTCTGCTGCCTGGGCCGTGGCCGCACTAAGCGCCTCTTTGGCTGTCTGGAAGTTGTCCAGAAACGTCTGGGGGGGGACGGCGAGAGAGAGAGAGAGAGACCATGACGGTACTAATACAGCAGGACAGGCATGCTGAGGTTCTGTATAGTGCTGGATGTAAGCCAGGGTAAGGGGAACAACTCATGTTACGCATAACACATGTGAAACTAGGTGACGCAAATTTGTAACCTTAAACACTGTTTACTGGAAGCGAATTCACACAAGGGAAAAACAGATGGAAGGAAAGAAAACAGGAGGAGGATACAGTTGGGCAGTTTTAAAGATGTTTTAAAAATTGGCAGTTGAGTGAGATTTGCGTAGCACTTAAAATGGAGAGTGAGTTGGGTTACTGTTACGTTGTGCATGAAAAGCATTCCTTTTTCGTGCGACGACAGACCCATTCCACAAAGTTTAGAGAGATATCCAAAGTGCCAATGAGATTTAGAAACAGAGCAAGAGACATTACATAGAAAGAGACATGGCTATTAACATGCCATCAAGACCAGAGCATCATATTAAACTGGATAACAGACCAATCAAATACTTTACCACACTCAGTCATCAACAAGAGTTTTCTTTTACATACAGCATGTCCACAGAGAAATATGTTCAGTCACGCTGGACATTACATACATCCCAACAAACACACATCAAGCTATAGTGACTATGCTGTCTCCTCTCCTCTTTTTAAATATACCTTTCAAGACAGCCAAGACAGCTTCCTGCTGTAGCATTGGTGATTAACTACCCTGGGTTGTACGAAAAGGACCATTTGTCAGAATTGTACCTGTCAGCGTTGTTAAATGGGGCATTTCTTGCCTAGAGACGACGGTTATTAAAACACAGCCATTAAAACATTAGTGGAGCTAGGACACGAAAGGCCGACCACCTCTTGGAATCCTACCTGACCTCACTGAACTGCCGCTTCCCCTCTGCTGCTGTCATGTCGGTATCGCATGGTAACTAGGAGTGCTTTTCATTTTTATGGTTTCAACCCACACATCCATCGACTTAAAACACACACACAGGAGGAGTTGGAGTGGGGTAGCCCTGTCCCGGATCTGTTGGTGCCGTCTTGCCAACTCCTATCTAAGGTCACTGTCACACCAAACATGTAACCATGGGAATTGGCTACACAAAAAAACAGATCTGGGACCAGGCTAGGAGTGAGCAGCCATTGAAAAGACAAAATGGTGCCCTCTTTTCAATGTGTGACACAAAGTTAAAGGCTTTACACTGACAGGGTTCGCACAAGCCCACTCGGTCACACAAGGGTTAAATGTTTCTGTGAGTAATGTGTAAAACGTATAGGTTCTTAACAGGGTTGGGGCCAATTCCATTTCCATTCAGTCAAGGTACTAAACTGAAATAAACAATTCTAATTATAACGCTTCTCTATGAGATAAAAAATAAATAAAATTTGAATTAACCCTGTCCTTAAGCTAGGGCCCTAACCCTGTCCTTAAACTAGGGCCCTAATCCTGTCCTTAAGCTAGGGCCCTAACCCTGTCCTTAAACTAGGGCCCTAACCCTGCTCCTTAAGCTAGGGCCCTAACCCTGTCCTTAAGCTAGGGCCCTAACCATGTCCTTAAGCTAGGGCCCTAACCATGTCCTTAAGCTAGGGCCCTAACCATCCTCCTTAAGCTAGGGCCCTAACCATCCTCCTTAAGCTAGGGCCTTAACCCTGCTCCTTAAACTAGGGCCTTAACCCTGTCCTTAAACTAGGGCCCTAATCCTGTCCTTAAGCTAGGGCCCTAACCCTGTCCTTAAGCTAGGGCCCTAACCCTGTCCTTAAACTAGGGCCCTAACCCTGTCCTTAAACTAGGGCCCTAACCCTGTCCTTAAGCTAGGGCCCTAACCATGTCCTTAAGCTAGGGCCCTAACCATCCTCCTTAAGCTAGGGCCTTAACCCTGCTCCTTAAACTAGGGCCCTAACCCTGTCCTTAAACTAGGGCCCTAACCCTGTCCTTAAGCTAGGGCCCTAACCCTGTCCTTAAGCTAGGGCCCTAACCCTGTCCTTAAGCTAGGGCCCTAACTATCCTCCTTAAGATAGGGCCCTAACCCTGTCCTTAAACTAGGGCCCTAACCCTGTCCTTAAGCTAGGGCCCTAACCCTGTCCTTAAGCTAGGGCCCTAACCCTGTCCTTAAGCTAGGGCCCTAACCCTGTCCTTAAGCTAGGGCCCTAACCCTGTCCTTAAGCTAGGGCCCTAACCCTGTCCTTAAGCTAGGGCCCTAACCCTGTCCTTAAACTAGGGCCCTAACCCTGTCCTTAAACTAGGGCCCTAACCCTGTCCTTAAACTAGGGCCCTAACCCTGTCCTTAAACTAGGGCCCTAACCCTGTCCTTAAACTAGGGCCCTAACCCTGTCCTTAAGCTAGGGCCCTAACCCTGTCCTTAAACTAGGGCCCTAACCCTGTCCTTAAGCTAGGGCCCTAACCCTGTCCTTAAACTAGGGCCCTAACCCTGCTCCTTAAGCTAGGGCCCTAACCCTGCTCCTTAAGCTAGGGCCCTAACCCTGTCCTTCCCTAACCCTGCTCCTTAAGCTAGGGCCCTAACCCTGTCCTTAAGCTAGGGCCCTAACCCTGTCCTTAAACTAGGGCCCTAACCCTGTCCTTAAGCTAGGGCCCTAACCCTGTCCTTAAGCTAGGGCCCTAACCCTGTCCTTAAGCTAGGGCCCTAACCCTGTCCTTAAGCTAGGGCCCTAACCCTGTCCTTAAGATAGGGCCCTAACCCTGTCCTTAAACTAGGGCCCTAATCCTGTCCTTAAGCTAGGGCCCTAACCCTGCTCCTTAAGCTAGGGCCCTAACCCTGCTCCTTAAGCTAGGGCCCTAACCCTGTCCTTAAGCTAGGGCCCTAACCCTGTCCTTAAGCTAGGGCCCTAACCCTGCTCCTTAAGCTAGGTCCCTAACCCTGCTCCTTAAGCTAGGGCCCTAACCCTGTCCTTAAACTAGGGCCCTAACCCTTCTCCTTAAGCTAGGGCCCTAACCCTGTCCTTAAGCTAGGGCCCTAACCCTGTCCTTAAGCTAGGGCCCTAACCCTGTCCTTAAGCTAGGGCCCTAACCCTGTCCTTAAGCTAGGGCCCTAACCCTGTCCTTAAGCTAGGGCCCTAACCCTGTCCTTAAGCTAGGGCCCTAATCCTGTCCTTAAGCTAGGGCCTTAACCCTGTCCTTAAACTAGGGCCCTAACCCTGTCCTTAAACTAGGGCCCTAACCCTGTCCTTAAGCTAGTGCCCTAACCCTGCTCCTTAAGCTAGGGCCCTAACCCTGCTCCTTAAGCTAGGGCCCTAACCCTGCTCCTTAAGCTAGGGCCCTAACCCTGTCCTTAAACTAGGGCCCTAACCCTGTCCTTAAGCTAGTGCCCTAACCCTGTCCTTAAGCTAGGGCCCTAACCCTGTCCTTAAACTAGGGCCTTAACCCTGTCCTTAAACTAGGGCCCTAACCCTGTCCTTAAGCTAGGGCCCTAACCCTGTCCTTAAGCTAGGGCCTTAACCCTGTCCTTAAACTAGGGCCCTAACCCTGTCCTTAAACTAGGGCCCTAACCCTGTCCTTAAACTAGGGCCCTAACCCTGCTCCTTAAGCTAGGGCCATGGGCGTAAGGTAGTGGTTAACAGTGCTGTGGTGTCTGGGTGTGTTGAAGCTGCAAAGCAGAGGGTGAATGCTGTAGTTTAGTGATGTGCTGCATGCCATAACCTGTAGTTTAGTGTTGTGCTGTGCTGCATGCCATAACCTGTACCTCATCAGGAGAGGGATACTGAGGATACTGATAGCTATAAGAGGCCTGGAGAGAACAACACAGATTTAGGGGAAATTGAAAAAGAAAGAAAGAGAGAGTTCAGAAGATAAAAGGAAACAGGTTCTCAGAAATTGAAATAACGTTTTAAGGCTTCCTGGTAACATAAAAGGACTCAAATTGATTTGTGTTCACCAAAACATCCTAATAAAGTTCCCCTGCAACATAAAGGGCTGGTTTCCTGGACCAAGATGCATCCTGTTCCTAAACTAAACCTAGTCATGCTCAATAGAGAATCTCCATTGAAACTACTTTTTAGTTGAGGAATAGGCTTAATCTGGGTCTAAGAAATTGGCCCATAGCAAGCTACATAGACATAACCATAACACATTTATCTACATTTCCAAAATCAATGACATGGGTCCTCTTAAACCATGTTCCACTCAGTGGTGAAGTTGCTATCTGAATGTGTGCCCCCGGTTGGGATCAATTCCATTTCAATTCCTGTCAATTCAGAAAGTAAACAACATTTTAATTCCAATTTTTTTTTTTTTTTTTTACTCATTGAAAAGCATTGAAGAGAATTGGAATTTCAGTGTACCTTCCTGAATTGCCTGGAATTGAAATGGAACCGAGCCCTAACCTTGTCGCCAGCTCTTGATACCTATCCCCGAGGTTCTCCCTCACCAGTAAAGACATGAGGAACTTGTGCAGATAGACGATCTGGATGCAGCCCAGCCTCATGGTGACCTTCCCGTCCACCTTGGAGGTGTCCGAATAGCCCTCTCCCTCCGTAGCGCTGGGGTACAGGGACATCTTAAAGCTGAACACCTCCTCACCCACGATGGAGACCGCCTACAGGACATTGCAGCATGTTGACGATATATATCCTCCTTGCAATAAACAGACTACATTACTTTGTTCATTTGTATTTACTAAACTACCACTTTAGCTCACTAACAATGCGTGTAATAACATAACATTCATTGGCCGATGGTGTACTTCGGTCTGTACTAGTCAATAGTAACTAATAAAAGGTCGAGTTAATGGAGACGGGACCAATGCAATAATCATTTTTAAATCAATCACCTTTTTGTGGATAGTTTTGGGGTCGACGTCCATCACAACTATGTCCCTGAGCCTGGCGAACACTGCTGTCTCTTTGGCCTGGACCAGGACCGACGCATCGATACCTGACGACACATTAGTCACGTCAAGTACACTCTCGTCAACACAATGAATACACCGTACGTCAATCACATGCAGAGATAACTGAAATACACTTTGAACGCCATTTTCCAAAAGTGGGTTTGTAAGTTTAATCAGCAGCATAACACCCCCCCCCCAAAAAATAAAACATGTGAAGGTAAGTCTCCTTTCAGATGATTGGTCACGTCTTACCTTGTATTCTGATGTCAGCGATGTTCTGCCGGTCATCACAGACCTCCACATGGAATGAACCCAGCATAGCAAACAGTTTGAAGTTGAACACATTGACGTGTTTTGCTCCTTTCGACACTGCAGAGGAGAACAGTTACACAACATTTGAAAATAGTTAATACTAGTCTTTTTAATGGCTATATGTTGACCTACATATACTGAACATAGTATAGTATGGTATATTATAGTATGGTATAGTAAAGTATATTATATTATAGTATGGTATAGTATATTATAGTATAGTATGGTATAGTGTATTATAGTATAGTATATTATAGTATGGTATAGTGTATTATAGTATAGTATATTATAGTATATTATAGTATATTATAGCATGGTATAGTATAGTATGGTATAGTATATTATAGTATAGTATGGTATAGTGTATTATAGTATAGTATATTATAGTATAGTATAGTATATTATAGCATGGTATAGTATAGTATGGTATAGTATATTATAGTATAGTATGATATGGTATATTATAGTATAGTATAGCATGGTATAGTATATTATAGTATATTATAGCATGGTATAGTATAGTATATTATAGTATAGTATGATATGGTATATTATAGTATAGTATGGTATAGTATATTATAGTATGATATGGTATATTATAGTATAGTATGGTATATTATAGTATAGTATGGTATATTATAGTATAGTATGGTATAGTGTATTATAGTATAGTATGGTATATTATAGTATAGTATATTATAGCATGGTATAGTATGGTATATTATAGTATAGTATATTATAGTATAGTATAGTATAGTATGGTATATTATAGTATAGTATGGTATATTATAGTATAGTATGGTATATTATGGTATATTATAGTATAGTATGGTATAGTATTAGGGGTGTAACGATTCGTTTTAACAACGATTCGATTTGTATCACGATTCGTGGTTGTCGATACGATTCAAGGACGATATTGGTTCATTTAGAACGATACGATCCGAAACGATTCAGTGACTTGAAATCGATTCAGTAACCTTTTAGCCAAAAATTCAACCAGTGTGACTGAAATAAATACCTGGATACTGGACAGTGCAGGTGAAGTTTCCTAGATTCCTGTTTCTTGTAAGGACCGCAATGGTGGCTTGATAATTTCTCGCTCGTCGGCTTCTCCTCTGTCGTCCGCCATGCTATGTTTTGTTGTCTTTGCGCCTTTGCGCTGCGATGACGTCACGGATAGGCAGACTGAATCGAGTAATGTTTAAAGCCTTTATCATTAAAAGTGCTAAGAAAAAACATCCATATAAAGTCTGACGTGCTTAAATCCAATGGGTTATTTCCTAGTATCGATACAATCGATTTATTACATTTTAAAACGATGTTAGATTGATATATGTTGTCCAAAAGGCCAACTCGCCGAGCACAGATCGATGTAGTTGGATCATAGGAATATAAATCGATACATCGATGTAGTAGATGGATCGTTACACCCCTATATAGTATATTATAGTATAGTATGGTATAGTGTATTATAGTATAGTATGGTATATTATAGTATAGTATGATATGGTATATTATAGTATGATATGGTATATTATAGTATAGTATGGTATAGTGTATTATAGTATAGTATGGTATATTATAGTATAGTATGATATGGTATATTATAGTATGATATGGTATATTATAGTATAGTATGGTATAGTGTATTATGTATAGTATGGTATATTATAGTATGTATGGTATATTATAGTATAGTATGATATGGTCATATTATAGTATGTATGGTATAGTATAGTTATGTTGATATGGTTATTATGTATGGTGTAGTGTTTATAGTATAGTACTGTCTAGTATGGTTAGTTGGTTCGTGTTTTACGTTAGTACTCGTATGTTTGTGTCATGTGTATCGTTCGTTGTTTCTGTATCTCGTTCGTCTAGTATGTGTCGTGTCATTCTAGTCATGTTAGTCTGGTTCAGTGTATTTGTACTCGTATATATATTCTAGTCTACGTCTGTGTGTGTTTATAGTATGTCTCTTGTCTATCGTCTAGTCTGTCTTGTGTTTCGTGTCTATTCGTCTCTTGTATAGTTCTCGTTGTTAGTTTAGTATGTATGTCTAGTCTTCCTTGTATTTCTGTCATGTCTGTATGTTGTCTGTTGGTGTGTGTATTCTGTTGTCTAGTTAGTTGTATGGTCTCGTGTATTATCGTCTATAGTATAGATGCGTTATCGTGTATTCTAGTATAGTTTTAGTATAGTTTATGGTATAGTATATAGTATAGTATATCTGGTCTAGTTATTATAGTTAGTATAGTTATAGTGTATTATAGTATAGTATCGTTAGTATGGTATGTTTCGTATAGTATAGTATGGTTTATTAGTGTAGTATATTCGTGTTATAGTATAGTAATATATAGCAGAGCATTGCATCATGGTACCTGTCTTTCCCTGTCCTGCCTTCTCCACCTGTCTCTTGGCCTCTCTGTCCTTGGAGGCGGTCAGCCCCTGGGGTACGGCTGTGTTCAGATAGTTGATGGTGGAGAGGAGCGCTTTGGTGTGGAGGAGAAAGTCTAGAGAGGACAACTCCACCTGGAGATATTTATACCATTCACATTAATACTGCACCAATACAAGGAGAAAGCATTCAGACCCCTTGACGTTACAGCCTTATTCTAAAATGGATTAGATTTAAAAAATTCTACACACAACACCTCATAATGACAAAGCGAAAACAATTTTTATTTTATTTAATTTTTGCTAATTTATAAGAAATTTAAAACAGAAATACCTTATTTACATAAGTATTCAGACCCTTTGCTATCAGAATCGAAATTGAGCTCAGGTGCATCCTGTTTCCATTGATCATCCTTGAGATGTTTCTACAACTTGGTTGGAGTCCACCTGTGGTACATTCAAATGATTGGACATGATTTGGAAAGGCACACACCTGTCTATATAAGGTCCCAGAGTTGACAGTGCATGTCAGAGCAAAAACCAAGCCATTAGGTCAATGGAATTGTCCTTAGAGCTCCGAGACAGAATTGTGTCGAGGCACAGATCTGGGAAAGGGTACCAATAAATGTCTGCAGCTTTGAAGGTCTCCAAGAACAGTGGCCTCCATCATTCTTAAATGGAAGAAGTTCGGAACCACCAAGACTCTTCCTAGAGCTGGCTGCCCGGCCAAACTGAGCAATCGGGGGAGAAGGGCCTTGGTCAGGGAGGTGACAAAGAAACCAATGGTCACAGAGCTCTAGAGTTCCTCTGATAAGATGGGAGAACCTTCCAGAAGGACAACCATCTCTGCAGCACTCCATAAATCAGGCCTTTATGGCAGAGTGGCCAGACGGAAGCCACTCTTCAGTAAAAGGCACATGACAGCCCGCTTGGAGTCTGCCAAAAGGCACCTAAAGGACTCCCAGACAATGAGAAACAAGATTCTCTGGTCTGATGAAACCAAGATTGAACTCTTTGGCCTGAATGCCAAGCGTCACGTCTGGAGAAAACCTGGCACCATCCCTACGGTGAAGCATGGTGGTGGCAGCATCATGCTGTGGGGATGTTTTTCAGTGGCAGGGACTGGGAGACTAGTCAGGATCGAAGGAAAGATGAACAGAGCAAAGTACAGAGATATCCTTGATGAAAACCTGCTCCAGAGCGCAGAGCGCAGGCGAAGGTTCACCTTCCAACAGAACAACGACCCTAAGCACACAGCCAAGACAACGCAGGAGTGGCCTTCGGGACAAGTCTCTGAATGTCCTTGAGTGGCCCAGCCAGAGCCCGGACTTGAACCCGATCGAACATCTCTGGAGAGACCTGAAAATAGCTGTGTAGCGATGCTCCCCATCCAACCTGACAGAGCTAGAGAGAATCTGCAGAGAAGAACGGGAGAAACTCCCCAAATACAGGTGTGCCAAGTTTGTAGCGTCATACCCAAGAAGACTCGATGCTGTAATCGCTGCCAAAGGTGCTTCAACAAAGTACTGAGTAAAGGATCTGAATACTTACGTAAATGTAATATTTCAGTTTTTAATCTTTAATAAATTAGAAAACAATTCTAAAAACCTGTTTTTGCTTTGTCATTATGGGGTATTGTGTGTAGATTGATGAGGGAGAAAAAAACGATGTAATCAATTTTAGAATAAGACTGTAAAGTAACAAAATGTGGAAAAAGTAAAGGGGTCTGAATACTTTCCGAAGGCACTGTTTTAATAAATAATCAATACTACTAGAATTACTGAGTCACATCAATACAGATAACTACTACTAGGATCCTACTATAACTACTGAGTCACATCAATACAGATAACTACTACTAGGATCCTACTAGAACTACTGAGTCACATCAATACAGATAACTACTACTAGGATCCTACTATAACTACTGAGTCACATCAATACAGATAACTACTACTAGGATCCTACTAGAACTACTGGGGGACCTCCTAGTGTTGACACGGAGCCCCGCAGATCCATCACGACTGGTCTGCCGACGTAATCGTCTGATGTGGTTTCAACAGGCTTCCCGTTGCGAACACCACAAAGATCCATCTGCTAGCCCCGACCCGCTAGCACGCGCAATCAACAGCCGTGCCTCCTGCTCGCCTGTAGCGTAGCAGCCACTGAACTGCTCTCGGACTCACCTATTGCTGTTCACTGGACCTTATGATCACTCAGCTACACAGCTGATGCCTGCTGGACTGTTCCTTTATACGGTACCTCATCCTGTTTATCTGTTTAGCCTCAGCCCAAACTTTCGTCGCCATTACCAGCTGTTTTCTTAGCTCTCTCGAATAACACCTGTGATTGCTTTATGCCTCTCTCCCATGTCAATACGCCTTGCCTATTGCTGTTTCGGCTATTTCTTATTGTACTATTTCACTGTAGAGCCCCCAGTCCAGCTCAACCTGCCTCAGATAGCTCCTTTGTCCCACCCCCAATACACGCGGAGATCGGCTCAATCGGTGCCTCCAGTGATGCCATCTCTTTCATTGTTACACAACACTTAGGTGTACCTCCACTGTACTCATATCCTTCCATATCTTTGTCTGTACATAATGCCCTGAATCAATTCTACAACGCCCGGAAATCTGTCCCTTTTATTCTCTGTACCCAACGCACTAGAAGACCAGTTCTTAAAGCCTTTAGCCGTATCCTTATTCTATTCCTTCTCTGTTCCTATGGTGATGTAGAGGCTAACCCAGGCCCTGCAGCCCCCAGTATCACTCCTACTCCCCAGGCGCTATCATTTGTTGACTTCTGTAACCGCAAAAGCCTTGGTTTCTTGCATGTTAACATCAGAAGCCTCCTCCCTAAGTTTGAATTATTCACTGCGTTAGCACACTCCGCCAACCCTGATGTTCTAGCAGTGTCTGAATCCTGGCTTAGGAAGGCCACCAAAAATTCAGAAATTTCCATTCCGAACTACAACATTTTCCGTCTAGATAGAACTGCCAAAAGGGGCGGAGTTGCAATCTACTGTAGAGATAGCCTGCAGAGCTCTATCATACTATCCAGGTCTGTACCCAAACAGTTTGAGCTCCTACTTCAAAAAATCCACCTTAACAGAAATAAGTCTCTCACTGTTGCCGCTTGCTACAGACCCCCCTCAGCCCCCAGCTGTGCACTGGACACCATATATGAATTGATTGCCCCCCATCTATCCTCAGAGTTTGTACTGCTTGGTGACCTAAACTGGGATATGCTTAACACGTCGGCCGTCCTACAATCTAAACTAGATGCCCTCAATCTCACACAAATTATCAAGGAACCTACCAGGTACAACCCTAAATCCGTAAACATGGGCACCCTCATAGATATCATCCTGACTAATTTACCCTCTAAATACACCTCCGCTGTCTTCAACCAGGATCTCAGCGATCACTGCCTGCGTCCGTAATGGGTCCGCGGTCAAACGACCACCCCTCATCACTATCAAACGCTCCCTAAAACACTTCAGCAAGCAGGCCTTTCTAATTGACCTGGCCCGGGTATCCTGGATGGATATTGACCTCATTCCGTCAGTAGAGGATGCCTGGTTGTTCTTTAAAATTGCTTTCTCTCCATCTTAAATAAGCATGCCCCATTCAAAAAATGCAGAACTAAGAACAGATATAGCCCCTGGTTCACCCCAGACTTGACTGCCCTTGACCAGCACAAAAACATCCTGTGGCGTACTGCATTAGCATCGAACAGCCCACGCGATATGCAACTTTTCAGTGAAGTCAGGAACCAATATACACAATCAGTTAGGAAAGCAAAGGCTAGCTTTTTCAAACAGTAATTTGCATCCTGTAGCACTAACTCCAAAAAGTTTTGGGACACTGTAAAGTCAATGGAGAATAAGAGCACCTCCTCCCAGCTGCCCACGGCACTGAGGCTAGGAAACACTGTCACTACCGATAAATCTACGATAATTGAACATTTCAACAAGCATTTTGCTATGACTGGCCATGCTTTCCACCTGACTACCCCTACCCCGGCCACCAGCTCTGCACCCACCGCTGAAACTTGCCCATGCCCCCCCTCCCGCTTCTCCTTCACCCAAATGCAGATAGCTGATGTTCTGAAAGAGCTGCAAAATCTGGACCCCTACAAATCAGCTGGGCTAGACAATCTGGACCCTTTCTTTCTAAAATTAGCCGCCAAAATTGTCGCAATCCCTATTACCAGCCTGTTCAACCTCTCTTTCGTATCGTCTGAGATCCCCAGAGATTGGAAAGCTACCGCGGTCATCCCCCTCTTCAAAGGGGGTGACACTATAGATCCAAACTGTTACAGACCTATATCCATCCTGCCCTGCCTTTCGAAAGTATTTGAAAGCCAAGTTAACAAACAGATCACCGACCATTTCAAATCCCACCGTACCTTCTCCGCTATGCAATCTGGTTACTGAGCTGGTCATGGGTGCACCTCAGCCACGCTCAAGGTCCTAAACGATATTATAACCGCGATCGATAAAAGACAGTACTGTGCAGCCGTCTTCATCGACCTGGCCAAGGCTTTCGACTCCGTCAATCACTGCATTCTTATTGGCAGACTAAATAGCCTTGGTTTCTCAAATGACTGCCTTGCCTGGTTCACCAACTACTTCTCAGATAGAGTTCAATGTGTCAAATCGGAGGGCCTGTTGTCTGGACCTCTGGCAGTCTCTATGGGGGTGCCACAGGGTTCAATTCTCGGGCCAAATCTATTCTCTGTGCATATCAATGATGTCGCTCTTGCTGCTGGTGACTCTCAGATCCACCTCTACGCAGACGACACCATTTTGTATACATCTGGCCCTTCATTGGACACTGTGTTAACAAACCTCCAAATGAGCTTCAATGCCATACAACACTCCTTCCGTAGCCTCCAACTGCTCTTAAACGCAAGTAAAACTAAATGCATGCTCTTCAATCGAACGCTGCTTGCACCCGCCCGCCCGACTAGAATCACTGCTCTCGGTGGGTCTGACTTAGAATATGTGGACAACTACAAATACCTAGGCGTCTGGTTAGACCGTAAACTATCCTTCCAGACTCACATTAAGCATCTCCAATCCAACGTTAAATCTAGAATCGGCTTCCTATTTCGCAACAAAGCCTCCTTCACTCATGCTGCCAAACATGCCCTCGTAAAACTGACTATCCTACCGATCCTTGACTTCGGCGATGTCATTTACAAAATAGCCTCCAACACTCTACTCAGCAAATTGGATGTAGTCTATCACAGTGCCATCCGTTTTGTCACCAAAGCCCCATATACTACCCACCATTGTGACCTGTATGCTCTCGTTGGCTGGCCCTCACTACATCTTCGTCGCCAAACCCACTGGCTCCAGGTCATCTATAAATCACTGCTAGGCAAATCCCCGCCTTATCTTAGCTCATTGGTCACCATAGCAACACCCACCCGTAGTATGCGCTCCAGCAGGTATATCTCACTGGTCATCCCCAAAGCCAACACCTCCTTTGGCCGCCATTCCTTCCAGTTCTCTGCTGCAAATGACTGGAACGAACTGCAAAAATCTCTGAAGCTGGAGACACTTGTCAGAGCAGCTTACCGATCACTGCACCTGTACACAGCCCATCTGTAATTAGCCCACCCAACTACCTCATCCCCATATTGTTATTTATTTTGCTCATTTGCACCCCAGTATCTCTATTTGCACATCATCTTCTGCACATCTATCATTCCAGTGTTAATACTAAATTGTAATTATTTTGCACTATGGCCTATTTATTGCCTTACCTCCATAACTTACTACATTTGAACACACTGTATATATATTTTCTGTTGTATTTTTGACTTTATGTTTTGTTTTACCCCATATGTAACTCTGTGTTGTTGTTGTTTTTATCGCACTGCTTTGCTTTATCTTGGCCAGGTCACAGTTGTAAATGAGAACTTGTTCTCAACTGGCTTACCTGGTTAAATAAAGGTGGAATAAAAATAAATACTACTAGGATCCTACTAGGATCTTACGGCTAATCCCACAATCCTAATACTACAATGACTTTCCTTGCAGCGTTTACTAACATGTGCCTATCATGAGCCTACCCAGCGTTAGTGTCAGTCTAACATGAGCCTATCATCGGTATGAAATGAACCCCAAGATTGGCAAATTCGCCACTGGCGCCCTGTGCTCTTCACAGATGAAAGCAGGTTCACACTGAGCACATGTGACAGACGTGACAGAGTCTGGAGACGCCGTGGAGAACGTTCTGCTGCCTGCAACATCCTAATTTCTTTGGGGGGCCGCACAGCCTTCCATGTGCTCGCCAGAGGTAGCCTGACTGCCATTAGGTACCGAGATGAGATCCTCAGACCCCTTGTGAGACCATATGCTAGTGCGGTTGGCCCTGGGTTCCTCCTAATGCAAGACAATGCTAGACCTCATGTGGCTGGAGTGTGTCAGCAGTTCCTGCAAGAGGAAGGCATTGATGCTATGGACTGGCCCGTCCGTTCCCCAGACCTGAATCCAATTGAGCACATCTGGGACATCATGTCTCGCTCCATCCACCAACGCCACGTTGCACCACAGACTGTCCAGGAGTTGGCGGATGCTTTAGTCCAGGTCTGGGAGGAGATCCCTCAGGAGACCATCCGCCACCTCATCAGGAGCATGCCCAGGCGTTGTAGGGAGGTCATACAGGCACGTGGAGGCCACACACACTACTGAGCCTCATTTTGACTTGTTTTAAGGACATTACATCAAAGTTGGATCAGCCTGTAGTGTGGTTTTCCACTTTAATTTTGAGTGTGACTCCAAATCCAGACATCCATGGGTTGATAAATTTGATTTCCATTGATCATTTTTGTGTGATTTTGTTGTCAGCACATTCAACTATGTAAAGAATAAAGTATTTAATAAGATTATTTCATTCATTCAGATCTAGGATGTGTTATTTTAGTGTTCCCTTAATTTTTTTGAGTAGTGTATCATGAGCCTACACAGCGTTCGTGTCAGTCTAACATGAGCCTATCATGGGTATGTAATATCATGAGCCTATCATGGGTGTGTAATATCAGCATATCATGAGTATGTAATATCATGAGCCTATCATGGGTATGTAATATCATGAGCCTACCCAGCGTTAGTGTCAGTCTAACATGAGCCTATCATGGGTATGTAATATCATGAGCCTATCATGGGTGTGTAATATCATGAGCATATCATGAGTATGTAATATCATGAGCCTATCATAGGTATGTAATATCATGAGCCTACCCAGCGTTAGTGTCAGTCTAACATGAGCCTATCATGGGTATGTAATATCATGAGCCTATCATGGGTATGTAATATCATGAGCCTACCCAGTGTTAGTGTTAGTCTAACATGAGCCTATCATGGGTATGTAATATCATGAGCCTACCCAGCGTTAGTGTTAGTCTAACATGAGCCTATCATGAGTATGTAATATCATGAGCCTATCATGAGTATGTAATATCATGAGCCTATCATGAGTATGTAATATCATGAGCCTACCCAGCGTTAGTGTCAGTCTAACATGAGCATGTAATATCATGAGCCTATCATGAGTATGTAATATCATGAGCCTACCCAGTGTTAGTGTCAGTCTAACATGAGCCTATCATGAGTATGTAATATCATGAGCCTATCATGAGTATGTAATATCATGAGCCTACCCAGCATTAGTGTCAGTCTAACATGAGCCTATCATGAGTATGTAATATCATGAGCCTATCATGAGTATGTAATATCATGAGCCTACCCAGTGTTCGTGTCAGTCTAACATGAGCCTATCATGAGTATGTAATATCATGAGCCTACCCAGCGTTAGTGTCAGTCTAACATGAGCCTATCATGAGTATGTAATATCATGAGCCTATCATGAGTATGTAATATCATGAGCCTACCATGAGTATGTAATATCATGAGCCTATCCAGCGTTAGTCATGGGAGCTTTTTATCAATAGAAAAAAGGAAGATACATCGTTTTAGAAAATGTCTAAAAGAAACAATGATCTATCTATATCTAATAGTATTATTTTGCGCTCTTACTGTACGTCATCATCGATTGATAATTTTTTCTACACTGTTGGTTTTGGGGCTGTAACCCCCTGCAGCATAAGGGAGGAAAGGGTTGTAGTGTGGGTTCTATTGACACATTTACTGGGAGTGCTAAATTATAAACATTAGGACAGCAACACTGTGGCATTTCATCCAGCATCCTTATCATAATGACGATATCAACATCATAAAATCTATTCAGGGATCACTACACAGTGAGAGAGAGAGAGAGAGAGAGAGAGAGAGAGAGAGAGAGGAGAGAGAGAGAGACAGAGAAGAAGACAGAGACAGAGACAAGAGAAGAGAGAGAGGAGAGAGAGAGACAGAGAGAGACAGAAGAGAGCAGAGAGAGAGAGAGAGAGACAGAGGAGAGAGAGAGGAGACAGAGAAGTAGAGAAGAAGCAGAGGAGAGAGAGACGAGAGAGAGAGAGACAGAGAGAGAGAGACAGAAGAGAGAGAGCAGAAGAAGAGAGAGAAGAGAGACAGAGAGACAGACAGAGGAGAGACAGAGAGGAGAGAGAGAAGAAAGGACGAGACAGAAGAGAGAAAGAGAGACAGAGAGAAGAGAGGACAGAGACAGAAGGCAGAGAGCGACAGAGAGACAGACGAAGACGAGACAGAGCAGAGACGAAGAGACGAGACAGAGGAGAGAGCAGACAGACGAGAGACAGACGAGAGAGACAGACAGCGAGAGCAGACGAGAAACAGACGAAGAACAGGACAGCAAAGACAGAAGACAGACAGACAGACAGACAGACAGACAGACAGACAGACAGACAGACAGACAGACAGACAGACAGACAGACAGACAGACAGACAGACAGACAGACAGACAGACAGACAGACAGACAGACAGACAGACAGACAGACAGACAGACAGACAGACAGACAGACAGACAGACAGACAGACAGACAGACAGACAGACAGACAGACAGACAGACAGACAGACAGACAGACAGACAGACAGACAGACAGACAGACAGACAGACAGACAGACAGACAGACAGACAGACAGACAGACAGACAGACAGACAGACAGACAGACAGACAGACAGACAGACAGACAGACAGACAGACAGGACAGACAGACAGACAGACAGACAGACAGACAGACAGACAGACAGACAGACAGACAGACAGACAGACAGACAGACAGACAGACAGACAGACAGACAGACAGACAGACAGACAGACAGACAGACAGACAGACAGACAGACAGACAGACAGACAGACAGACAGACAGCAGACAGAGAGGAGAGAGAGAGAGAGAGAGAGAGAGAGAGAGAGAAAGAGTGTGTGTGTGTGTATGTGTGTGTGTATGTGTGTGTGTGTGTGTGTGTGTGTGTGTGACCAAGGCAGCGGCTGCATGACTAAGGTCTCTGACAAACAAACACCTTTAACCTTTTCTCAGCCATCACACTAAAACTGTGTGGAAAAATAGGACTGGAAAGTGATTAACCTATGCCTTTACGATTAACATTGATTTCTGTCTTTCTCACGTTGGTTCTGAAATAGCTGAGTGAGAAGCAAACACACTACTATTGATTCAAAAAACCTGTAATGCTGAACAAACTTTTAAAACATGGCAACACAACGTATATTCCAGGCATATCTAGGCTCTAGATGAAGCATTATTCAGTTACAGCAAATTCAGTTATAATAATATAATAATAATAATAATATGCCATTTAGCAGACGCTTTTATCCAAAGCGACTTACAGTCATGCGTGCATACATTTTTACGTATGGGTGGTCCCGGGGATCGAACCCACTACCCTGGCGTTACAAGCGCCATGCTCTACTAATTGAGCTACAGAGGACCACATTGAGCTACAGAGGACCTCATATCGTGTGCAGTTCTCCCCCCCCCCCCCACCCCACCCCACCCAAAAAAAGGTAAATATTGCCAGGTTTGATCATTCTAATCTTCTCAAACAACCATCTGTACATCTATAGCTGGGTAACCTACGACAGGCAGCACAATGGAAAGATTCCTGCTCTTAGAAAGGATCTTAAAGACTCGTTGAGGAAGTGGTTAGCATAGAACTGTCTCCATGTAAAATACTGTGAAGCAGACAAACGTGGCGACGAGACGTGTTGGGAAACCCTTTACGATACTTAAAATCGGCTGTTACCTTGGTTACTCAGAGGGGGAAAAACACTACCAATTCATATCACCTACCTTCAGGTTCTGCTCGGTGTTGTCAAACATGGTTTTGAAGTTTGGCCCGTTGATATCAGCCTGTAGGTAGAGACAGCATGTTAGCTGGAGACAGCATGTTAGGTGGAGACAGCATGTTAGGTGGAGACAGCATGTTAGGTGGAGACAGCATGTTAGGTGGAGACAGCATGTTAGGTGGAGACATAATACTGGCCCGTTGATATCAGCCTGTAGGTGGAGACAGCATGTTAGGTGGAGACAGCATGTTAGGTAGAGACAGCATGTTAGGTGGAGACAGCATGTTAGGTGGAGACAGCATGTTAGGTGGAGACAGCATGTTAGGTGGAGACAGCATGTTAGGTGGAGACAGCATGTTAGGTGGAGACAGCATGTTAGGTGGAGACAGCATGTTAGGTGGAGACAGCATGTTAGGTGGAGACAGCATGTCGTTAAAACGCGAATACTGACTGCTCTGTTGATATCAGCCTGTAGGTAGAGACAGCATGTTAGGTGGAGACAGCATGTTAGGTGGAGACAGCATGTTAGGTGGAGACAGCATGTTAGGTGGAGACAGCATGTTAGGTGGAGACAGCATGTTAGGTGGAGACAGCATGTTAGGTGGAGACAGCATGTTAGGTGGAGACAGCATGTTAGGTGGAGACAGCATGTTAGGTGGAGACAGCATGTTAGGTGGAGACAGCATGTTAGGTAGAGACAGCATGTTAGGTGGAGACATAATACTGGCCCGTTGATATCAGCCTGTAGGTGGAGACAGCATGTTAGGTGGAGACAGCATGTTAGGTGGAGACAGCATGTTAGGTAGAGACAGCATGTTAGGTAGAGACAGCATGTTAGGTGGAGAAACGCTAATACAGACTGCTCTGTTGATATCAGCCTGTAGGTGGAGACAGCATGTCGTTAAAACGCTAATACTGACTGCTCTGTTGATATCAGCCTGTAGGTAGAGACAGCATGTCGTTAAAACGCTAATACTGACTGCTCTGTTGATATCAGCCTGTAGGTGGAGACAGCATGTCGTTAAAACGCTAATACTGACTGCTCTGTTGATATCAGCCTGTAGGTGGAGACAGCATGTCGTTAAAAGCAAGTACTGACTGCTCTGTTGATATCAGCCTGTAGGTGGAGACAGCATGTCGTTAAAACGCTAATACTGACTGCTCTGTTGATATCAGCCTGTAGGTGGAGACAGCATGTCGTTAAAACGCTAATACTGACTGCTCTGTTGATATCAGCCTGTAGGTAGAGACAGCATGTCGTTAAAACGCTAATACTGACTGCTCTGTTGATATCAGCCTGTAGGTGGAGACAGCATGTCGTTAAAACGCTAATACTGACTGCTCTGTTGATATCAGCCTGTAGGTGGAGACAGCATGTCGTTAAAACGCTAATACTGACTGCTCTGTTGATATCAGCCTGTAGGTGGAGACAGCATGTCGTTAAAACGCTAATACTGACTGCTCTGTTGATATCAGCCTGTAGGTGGAGACAGCATGTCGTTAAAACGCTAATACTGACTGCTCTGTTGATATCAGCCTGTAGGTAGAGACAGCATGTCGTTAAAACGCTAATACTGACTGCTCTGTTGATATCAGCCTGTAGGTAGAGACAGCATGTCGTTAAAACGCTAATACTGACTGCTCTGTTGATATCAGCCTGTAGGTGGAGACAGCATGTCGTTAAAACGCTAATACTGACTGCTCTGTTGATATCAGCCTGTAGGTAGAGACAGCATGTCGTTAAAACGCTAATACTGACTGCTCTGTTGATATCAGCCTGTAGGTGGAGACAGCATGTCGTTAAAACGCTAATACTGACTGCTCTGTTGATATCAGCCTGTAGGTGGAGACAGCATGTCGTTAAAACGCTAATACTGACTGCTCTGTTGATATCAGCCTGTAGGTAGAGACAGCATGACGTTAAAACGCTAATACTGACTGCTCTGTTGATATCAGCCTGTAGGTGGAGACAGCATGTCGTTAAAACGCTAATACTGACTGCTCTGTTGATATCAGCCTGTAGGTGGAGACAGCATGTCGTTAAAACGCTAATACTGACTGCTCTGTTGATATCAGCCTGTAGGTGGAGACAGCATGTCGTTAAAACGCTAATACTGACTGCTCTGTTGATATCAGCCTGTAGGTAGAGACAGCATGACGTTAAAACGCTAATACTGACTGCTCTGTTGATATCAGCCTGTAGGTGGAGACAGCATGTCGTTAAAACGCTAATACTGACTGCTCTGTTGATATCAGCCTGTAGGTGGAGACAGCATGTCGTTAAAACGCTAATACTGACTGCTCTGTTGATATCAGCCTGTAGGTGGAGACAGCATGTCGTTAAAACGCTAATACTGACTGCTCTGTTGATATCAGCCTGTAGGTGGAGACAGCATGTCGTTAAAACGCTAATACTGACTGCTCTGTTGATATCAGCCTGTAGGTAGAGACAGCATGTCGTTAAAACGCTAATACTGACTGCTCTGTTGATATCAGCCTGTAGGTGGAGACAGCATGTCGTTAAAACGCTAATACTGACTGCTCTGTTGATATCAGCCTGTAGGTGGAGACAGCATGTCGTTAAAACGCTAATACTGACTGCTCTGTTGATATCAGCCTGTAGGTGGAGACAGCATGTCGTTAAAACGCTAATACTGACTGATCTGTTGATATCAGCCTGTAGGTAGAGACAGCATGTCGTTAAAACGCTAATACTGACTGCTCTGTTGATATCAGCCTGTAGGTAGAGACAGCATGACGTTAAAACGCAAATACTGACTGCTCTGGAAAACAACTGCTTAGGTCATATAAGATTTCCATAGAATGATAGACCTACGATACAATATATTGAGATTTTATTTCTAAAATAAGATATCATGCTTGTGAATTTGGCCAAAATGCAATAGTCGCACAACTGAATAGAAATAGTGAGTGAGTGAGTGAGTGAGTGAGTGAGACAGAGACAGACAGAGAGAGCGAGAGAGCGAGAGAGCGAGAGAGCGAGAGAGAGCGAGAGAGCGAGAGAGCGAGAGAGCGAGAGAGCGAGAGAGAGAGAGAGCGAGAGAGAGCGAGAGAGACAGAGAGACAGAGAAGAGATCGATTTGAGACCGAGGAGGAGTGATTGACAAAGGGCCCAGTGAGTAAAACTTCTCTTACTTTGGTGTACTCCACCTTGAGCAGGTCTGAGCCGTGCTCGTCTGAGGAGCTGACCAGGTGCAGAGGCTGGTTATTGGAGTCTGGAAATAACACAATTCATTACGTTAGCGAAGATGCTGTTGCTCTTCAACTGGAATGTGATGGTGACTAGAGAGCAGGGGATGGACAGCTTCAGTCCTCGGGGGGGGGGCCCGATTGGTTTCACACTTTTACCCGAGCCACAGCTAACACACACACCCGACTCTAATCATCAACTAATAATGGACTGGAGTTGCTCATCCCTGTTATAGAGGGATAGAATCAGCTTGACGTTGGAATTTATATAAATAATAGGCATATCCTGGTCATAGACACCCACGGCCCAGTCTATATCATACACGGGGTGCTACTACTATAGACACCCACGGCCCAGTCTATATCCTACACGGGGTGCTACTACTATAGACACCCACGGCCCAGTCTATATCCTACACGGGGTGCTACTACTATAGACACCCACGGCCCAGTCTATATCCTACACGGGGTACTACTACTATAGACACCCACGGCCCAGTCTATATCCTACACGGGGTGCTACTACTATAGACACCCACGGCCCAGTCTATATCCAACACGGGGTGCTACTACTATAGACACCCACGGCCCAGTCTATATCCTACACGGGGTGCTACTACTATAGACACCCACGGCCCAGTCTATATCCTACACGGGGTGCTACTACTATAGACACCCACGGCCCAGTCTATATCCTACACGGGGTGCTACTACTATAGACACCCACGGCCCAGTCTATATCCTACACGGGGTGCTACTACTATAGACACCCACGGCCCAGTCTATATCCTACACGGGGTGCTACTACTATAGACACCCACGGCCCAGTCTATATCCTACACGGGGTGCTACTACTATAGACACCCACGGCCCAGTCTATATCCTACACGGGGTGCTACTACTATAGACACCCACGGCCCAGTCTATATCCTACATAGGGTGCTACTACTATAGACACCCACGGCCCAGTCTATATCCTACACGGGGTGCTACTACTATAGACACCCACGGCCCAGTCTATATCCTACACGGGGTGCTACTACTATAGACACCCACGGCCCAGTCTATATCCTACACGGGGTGCTACTACTATGGATGTAGTGAAGTGGATGACTTCATCCCAGATGCAGCATCTACTGTAGGACCTACTTTACGGAGGTGAGGGTGAGGTCATAGGTTAGGGGTTAGGGTTAGTTAGTTAGTGTTACTAGTACCTCTGATCTCACAGTAGTCCAGGCCTACTTTACGGAGGTGAGGGTGAGGTCATAGGTTAGGGGTTAGGGTTACTAGTACCTCTGATCTCACAGTGGTCCAGGCCTACTTTACGGAGGCGAGGGTGAGGTCATAGGTTAGGGGTTAGGGTTAGTTAGTTAGGGTTACTAGTACCTCTGATCTCACAGTAGTCCAGGCCTACTTTACGGAGGTGAGGGTGAGGTCATAGGTTAGGGGTTAGGGTTAGTTAGTTAGGGTTACTAGTACCTCTGATCTCACAGTGGTCCAGGCCTACTTTACGGAGGCGAGGGTGAGGTCATAGGTTAGGGTTAGTTAGTTAGGGTTACTAGTACCTCTGATCTCACAGTAGTCCAGGCCTACTTTACGGAGGTGAGGGTGAGGTCATAGGTTAGGGGTTAGGGTTACTAGTACCTCTGATCTCACAGTAGTCCAGGCCTACTTTATGGAGGCGAGGGTAAGGTCATAGGTTAGGGGTTAGGGTTACTAGTACCTCTGATCTCACAGTAGTCCAGGCCTACTCTACGGAGGTAGGATGTGATGGTGAGGTCATAGGTTCTCATCTTGCCCTCTGCTCCCAGCTGAGACACACTAAGGACCAACAGCGTGTTCTCCTGGTCAGCCTGACGCGTCAACTCCAACAGCACCTGGAGAACATCGCCAAACACACCTCAATAACATCATAACGCTTTAGACAGCAACGCTGTGGTCCTGTGTAGCTCAGTTGGTAGAGCGTAGAGCTTGTAACACCAGAGTTGCGGGTTCGATTCCCACTGGGGTCACCGATAGAAAAATGTATTGCTTTGATTATTGGATTTTTCGTAGATAATAAAAAAAAAAAAATAATAATAATAATAATAACTCTGTACCGCTTTGACTTCAAACTTGAACTGCACGTCAGTCAGCTCCTCTGTGGCAGAGGGTTGGTGTTCCTCATCCACAGACATATAATATGACTCACCATCTGAGCCTAGGGAGGGAGACATACAGATTACACACAGATTATATACAGATTACATATAGATTATATACAGATTACATATAGATTATATACAGATTACATATAGATTACATACAGATTACATATAGATTACATACAGATTACATATAGATTACATACAGATTACATATATATTACATACATCTTGCATAGCGTAAAGAGATCTAATGTACACTGAGTGGACAAAACATTAGGAACACCTTCCTAATATTGAGTTGCACCCCCGTTTTTTCCCTCACAACAGCCTCAATTCGTTGAGGCATGGACCCTACAAGGTGTCGAAAGCGTTCCACAGGGATGCTTGGCCCATGTTGACTCCAATGCTTCCCACAGTTGTGTCAAGTTGGCTGGATGTCCTTTGGGTGGTACACCATTGTTGATACACACGGGAAACTGTTCAGCGTGAAAAACCCAGCAGCGTTGCAGTTCTTGACACTCAAACGGGTGCGCCTGGCACCTACTACCATACCCCGTTCAAAGGCACTTAAATATTTTGTCTTGCCCATTCACCCTCTGAATGGCAAACACACAATCCATGTCTCAATTATCTCAAGGCTTAAAAGTCCTTCTTTAACCTGTCTCCTCCCCTTCATCTACACTGATTGAAGTGGATTTAACAGGTGACATCAATAAGGGATCATATCTTTCACCTTGACTCGACTGGTCAGTGTACATCATCCACAGACGTCTGACAATAAATGTCATAACAACATATCCATAGTGAAAGAAATGTTTCCACTCATTCATGATTCATGCCATGCAATAACAGATCGTCCTGCTATCTCCTGGTCTTGGTTCTTCAATAACAGATAGTCCTTTTTTATTTTATTTATTTCACCTTTATTTAACCAGGTAAGCCAGTTGAGAACAGGTTCTCATTTACAACTGCGACCTGGCCAAGATAAAGCAAAGTAGTGCAATAAAAACAACAGAGTTACATATGGGGTAAAAAAAACATAAAGTCAGAAATACAACAGAAAATATATATACAGTGTGTGCAAATGTAGCAAGTTATGGAGGTAAGGCAATAAATAGGCTATAGTGCAAAATAATTACAATAGTATTAACACTGGAATGCTAGATGTGCAAGAGATTATGTGCAAATAGAGATACTGGGGTGCAAAAGAGCAAAATAAATAACAATATAGGGATGAGGTAGTTGGGTGGGCTAATTTCGGATGGGCTGTGTACAGGTGCAGTGATCGGTAAGGTGCTCTGACAACTGATGCTTAAAGTTATTGAGGGAGATAAGAGTCTCCAGCTTCAGAGATTTTTGCAATTCGTTCCAGTCATTGGCAGCAGAGAACTGGAAGGAATGGCGGCCAAAGGAGGTGTTGGCTTTGGGAATGACCAGTGAGATATACCTGCTGGAGCGCAGACTACGGGTGGGTGCTGCTATGGTGACCAATGAGCTAAGATAAGGCGGGGATTTACCTAGCAGTGATTTATAGATGGCCTGGAGCCAGTGGGTTTGACGACGAACATGTAGTGAGGACCAGCCAACAAGAGCGTACAGGTCACAGTGGTGGGTAGTGTATGGGGCTTTGGAGACAAAACGGATGGCACTGTGATAGACTACATCCAATTTGCTGAGTAGAGTGTTGGAGGCTATTTTGTAAATGACATCGCCGAAGTCAAGGATCGGTAGGATAGTCAGTTTTACGAGGGCATGTTTGGCAGCATGAGTGAAGGAGGCTTTGTTGCGAAATAGGAAGCCGATTCTAGATTTAACTTTGGATTGGAGATTCTTTATGTGAGTCTGGAAGTTGAGTTTACAGTCTAACCAGACACCTAGGTATTTGTAGTTGTCCACATACTCTAGGTCAGACCCGTCGAGAGTGGTGATTCTAGTCGGGTGGGCGGGTGCCAGCAGCGTTCGATTGAAAAGCATGCATTTAGTTTTACTAGTGTTTAAGAGCAGTTGGAGGCTACTGAAGGATTGTTGTATGGCATTGAAGCTCCTTCTATCTCCTGGTCTTGGTTCTTCAATAACAGATAGTCCTTCTATCTCCTGGTCTTGGTTCTTCAATAACAGATAGTCCTTCTATCTCCTGGTCTTGGTTCTTCAATAACAGATAGTCCTTCTATCTCCTGGTCTTGGTTCTTGAATAACAGATAGTCCTTCTATCTCCTGGACTTGGTTCTTCAATAACAGATAGTCCTTCTATCTCCTGGACTTGGTTCTTCAATAACAGATAGTCCTGCTATCTCCTGGTCTTGGTTCTTCAATAACAGATGGTTCTTCTATCTCCTGGACTTGGTTCTTCAATAACAGATCGTCCTGCTATCTCCTGGTCTTGGTTCTTCAATAACAGATAGTCCTTCTATCTCCTGGTCTTGGTTCTTCAATAACATATCGTCCTGCTATCTCCTGGTCTTGGTTCTTCAATAACAGATAGTCCTTCTATCTCCTGGTCTTGGTTCTTCAATAACAGATAGTCCTTCTATCTCCTGGTCTTGGTTCTTCAATAACAGATCGTCCTACTATCTCCTGGTCTTGGTTCTTCAATAACAGATAGTCCTTCTATCTCCTGGTATTGGTTCTTCAATAACAGATAGTCCTGCTATCTCCTGGTATTGGTTCTTCAATAACAGATGGTTCTTCTATCTCCTGGTATTGGTTATTCAATAACAGATGGTTCTTATATCTCCTGGTATTGGTTCTTCAATAACAGATGGTTCTTCTATTTCCTGGTATTGGTTCTTCAATAACAGATGGTTCTTCTATATCCTGGTATTGGTTCTTCAATAACAGATGGTTCTTCTATTTCCTGGTATTGGTTCTTCAATAACAGATGGTTCTTCTATCTCCTGGTATTGGTTCTTCAATAACAGATGGTTCTTCTATTTCCTGGTATTGGTTCTTCAATAACAGATGGTCCTTCTATCTCCTGGTCTTGGTTCTTCAGTAACAGATAGTCCTTCTATTTCCTGGTCTTGGTTCTTCAGTAACAGATGGTTCTTCTATTTCCTGGTCTTGGTTCTTCAGTAACAGATGGTTCTTCTATCTCCTGGTCTTGGTTCTTCAGTAATGGTTGCAATGGAAATGCCCTGTCTGGCTGATCTAGTTCTGATAAAGGAGGTTGAGCCGCTGACTAAAACACAGTCTTCTCTCACCTGAGGGGGGAGCTGTTGTATTCTGGCTTGCACTCAAGATAGACTCACCTTCCCCAATAGACAACTCTGTACCATTGCATCCGTTACAGACAAAGACCAGTGGATAGAAGGAGCATCCCATCTAGGATCAGATTACCTGACGCCCAGTCACAGTCACAACCATTAGGGTGGTCAGATAACAGCTGACCCTGAATCAGTTAATGCAGATACAGTAGTGAAGAACCAGCCCCCACCTGTCTCTAATCCATCTAGCAGCACTGGGGTTTTTAAACCCAGGACTTTGGGCCTGGCCTCAGACAAACACAGCATCTAGTGGAAACAAGACGGAAAGAGATGAGAAAGCTGTTGATTGCCGAACATATTTCTATTGTTTTTTACAAGACATGGATGTACCAATGTAATGGATGTGTGTAGGCTCCTCTACTGGTGAACTGGGTCAGACCAACTGTACCTTCTGGGTGGGGGTGGAAGGGGTGGAACCACTCTGGGGCAGGGGGATGCTGTAGACCAGGTCCAACACTCCCTGGATCTTCTGGTCTGAGATCTTCACATGGAGGAGAGGCAGTTCTCCAGACACCTTGAATCTGGAACACAGTAGATACCATACCAGATATTTACTAATCTGGAAACACAGTAGATACCATACCAGAGCTTTACTAATCTGGAAACACATTAGATACCATACCAGAGCTTTACTAATCTGGAACACAGTAGATACCATACCAGAGCTTTACTAATCTGGAACACAGTAGATACCATACCAGAGCTTTACTAATCTGGAACACAGTAGATACCATACCAGAGCCTTACTAATCTGGAACACATTAGATACCATACCAGAGCTTTACTAATCTGGAACACAGTAGATACCATACCAGAGCCTTACTAATCTGGAACACAGTAGATACCATACCAGAGCTTTACTAATCTGGAACACAGTAGATACCATACCAGAGCTTTACTAATCTGGAACACAGTAGATACCATACCAGAGCTTTACTAATCTGGAACACAGTAGATACCATACCAGAGCTTTACTAATCTGGAAACACATTAGATACCATACCAGAGCTTTACTAATCTGAAACACAGTAGATACCATACCAGAGCTTTACTAATCTGGAACACAGTATATACCATACCAGAGCTTTACTAATCTGGAACACATTAGATACCATACCAGAGCTTTACTAATCTGAAACACAGTAGATACCATACCAGAGCTTTACTAATCTGGAACACAGTATATACCATACCAGAGCTTTACTAATCTGGAACACAGTAGATACCATACCAGAGCTTTACTAATCTGGAACACAGTAGATACCATACCAGAGCCTTACTAATCTGGAACACAGTAGATACCATACCAGAGCTTTACTAATCTGGAACACATTAGATACCATACCAGAGCTTTACTAATCTGGAACACAGTAGATACCATACCAGAGCTTTACTAATCTGGAACACAGTAGATACCATACCAGAGCTTTACTAATCTGGAACACAGTAGATACCATACCAGAGCTTTACTAATCTGGAACACAGTAGATACCATACCAGAGCCTTACTAATCTGGAACACAGTAGATACCATACCAGAGCTTTACTAATCTGGAACACAGTAGATACCATACCAGAGCTTTACTAATCTGGAACACAGTAGATACCATACCAGAGCTTTACTAATCTGGAACACAGTAGATACCATACCAGAGCCTTACTAATCTGGAACACAGTAGATACCATACCAGAGCTTTACTAATCTGGAACACAGTAGATACCATACCAGAGCCTTACTAATCTGGAACACAGTAGATACCATACCAGAGCTTTACTAATCTGGAACACAGTAGATACCATACCAGAGCTTTACTAATCTGGAACACAGTAGATACCATACCAGAGCTTTACTAATCTGGAACACAGTAGATACCATACCAGAGCTTTACTAATCTGGAACACAGTAGATACCATACCAGAGCTTTACTAATCTGGAACACAGTAATACCATACCAGAGCTTTACTAATCTGGAACACAGTAGATACCATACCAAGCCTTACTAATCTGGAAACACATTAGATACCATACCAGAGCCTTTACTAATCTGGAAACACTTAGATACCATACCAGAGCTTTACTAATCTGGAAAACATAGTAGATACCATACCAGAGCTTTACTAATCTGGAACACAGTAGATACCATACCAGAGCTTTACTAATCTGGAACACAGTAGATACCATACCAGAGCTTTACTAATCTGGAACACAGTAGATACCATACCAGAGCTTTACTAATCTGGAAACACAGTAGATACCATACCAGAGCTTTACTATCTGGAACACAGTAGATACCATACCAGAGCTTTACTAATCTGGAACACAGTAGATACCATACCAGAGCTTTACTAATCTGGAACACAGTAGATACCATACCAGAGCTTTACTAATCTGGAACACAGTAGATACCATACCAGAGCTTTACTAATCTGGAACACAGTAGATACCATACCAGAGCTTTACTAATCTGGAACACAGTAGATACCATACCAGAGCTTTACTAATCTGGAACACAGTAGATACCATACCAGAGCTTTACTAATCTGGAACACAGTAGATACCATACCAGAGCTTTACTAATCTGGAACACATTAGATACCATACCAGAGCTTTACTAATCTGGAACACAGTATATACCATACCAGAGCATTACTAATCTGGAACACATTAGATACCATACCAGAGCTTTACTAATCTGGAACACAGTAGATACCATACCAGAGCTTTACTAATCTGGAACACAGTAGATACCATACCAGAGCTTTACTAATCTGGAACACAGTAGATACCATACCAGAGCCTTACTAATCTGGAACACAGTAGATACCATACCAGAGCTTTACTAATCTGGAACACAGTAGATACCATACCAGAGCTTTACTAATCTGGAACACAGTAGATACCATACCAGAGCTTTACTAATCTGGAACACAGTAGATACCATACCAGAGCTTTACTAATCTGGAACACAGTAGATACCATACCAGAGCTTTACTAATCTGGAACACAGTAGATACCATACCAGAGCTTTACTAATCTGGAACACAGTAGATACCATACCAGAGCTTTACTAATCTGGAACACAGTAGATACCATACCAGAGCCTTACTAATCTGGAACACAGTAGATACCATACCAGAGCTTTACTAATCTGGAACACAGTAGATACCATACCAGAGCTTTACTAATCTGGAACACAGTAGATACCATACCAGAGCTTTACTAATCTGGAACACAGTAGATACCATACCAGAGCTTTACTAATCTGGAACACAGTAGATACCATACCAGAGCTTTACTAATCTGGAACACAGTAGATACCATACCAGAGCTTTACTAATCTGGAACACAGTAGATACCATACCAGAGCTTTACTAATCTGGAAACACAGTAGATACCATACCAGAGCTTTACTAATCTGGAACACAGTAGATACCATACCAGAGCTTTACTAATCTGGAACACAGTAGATACCATACCAGAGCTTTACTAATCTGGAACACAGTAGATACCATACCAGAGCCTTACTAATCTGGAACACAGTAGATACCATACCAGAGCTTTACTAATCTGGAACACAGTAGATACCATAGATCCATGGGGCGGCGCACAATTGGCCCAGCGTCATCCAGGATAGGGGAGGGAATGGGCGGCAGGGATGTAGCTCAGTTGGTAGGGTTGTGGGTTCGATTCCCACGGGGGGGGGGGGCCAGTATGAAAAATAAAATAATAATGTATGCACTCACTAACTGTAAGTCGCTCTGGATAAGAGCGTCTGCTAAATGACTAAAATGTAAATGTAAATACCCTCTGGTTTAGCGAACACTGTGTCTGCACCACAGAATTTAGTCAGTACTAGTGATGAGGGGGGAAATCGATACAGTTACATATCACAATATTATTTTGGACAATATTATATTGATACTTCGACTCTAAGTATATATTTGTTGTTGTTGCTAAATAGCCTTAGTCGGCTATACCTGCTTCAAAACTCTGCTATTTTTCATCCTATATCTTGTTCTCCATCTTCTTTTTAAATAGTGAGCCAACGTGTTTTCAGCACTTTATTTTCCATGACTGATCAAAACTCATTTTCTAATGATCTCTGTCGTCTCTCTGCAGCAGACATACACTGCGGTCCAAAATGATTGACACCCTTGATAAAGACGGGCAATAATGACTGTAGAAAATAATAAATAATGAGCTATATTGTACGCTAAAACTATTGGGAAATTATATGTTATACTTACACAATTGCTCATAGAAAGAGATTTTGTTTAAAAAGTAATATTAATTTTTTTTCTCAAAAAAAGGTAGGGGTCAAAATTATTGACACCCCTAAAAATTCTAATACATAAAGTAGTAAAAGGTTTAGTATTTGGTCCCATATTCCTAGATGACTACATCACACTTGTGAGCAATGTTTGGAACATGAAATCACAACTTATAGAAAACGTGAGAATCGTGAGACTAGGTATCACGATAACGTCGTATCTCGAGGTCCCTGGCAATTCCCAGCCCAGTCAGCACAGTACACTACTGATTCTGATGAAGGCCATCGATGGCCGAAACACTTTTAATTGTAAGCGAGAGACATGCTAACTCCCTTCAAATACTACTGCCCATTCCACAGTCCCTCAGCTCCCTTAGCCTGGATAACAGTCTGGTGTTACCTGGCCATTCTGGCATCATTCCACAGTCCCTCAGCTACCTTAGCCTGGATAACAGTCTGGTGTTACCTGGCCATTCTGGCATCATTCCACAGTCCCTCAGCTCCCTTAGCCTGGATAACAGTCTGGTGTTACCTGGCCATTCTGGCATCATTCCACAGTCCCTCAGCTACCTTAGCCTGGATAACATTCTGGTGTTACCTGGCCATTCTGGCATCATTCCACAGTCCCTCAGCTACCTTAGCCTGGATAACAGTCTGGTGTTACCTGGCCATTCTGGCATCATTCCACAGTCCCTCAGCTCCCTTAGCCTGGATAACATTCTGGTGTTACCTGGCCATTCTGGCATCATTCCACAGTCCCTCAGCTACCTTAGCCTGGATAACATTCTGGTGTTACCTGGCCATTCTGGCATCATTCCACAGTCCCTCAGCTCCCTTAGCCTGGATAACAGTCTGGTGTTACCTGGCCATTCTGGCATCATTCCACAGCCCCTCAGCTCCCTTAGCCTGGATAACAGTCTGGTGTTACCTGGCCATTCTGGCATCATTCCACAGTCCCTCAGCTACCTTAGCCTGGATAACAGTCTGGTGTTACCTGGCCATTCTGGCATCATTCCACAGTCCCTCAGCTCCCTTAGCCTGGATAACAGTCTGGTGTTACCTGGCCATTCTGGCATCATTCCACAGTCCCTCAGCTCCCTTAGCCTCGATAACAGTCTGGTGTTACCTGGCCATTCTGGCATCATTCCACAGTCCCTCAGCTCCCTTAGCCTGGATAACAGTCTGGTGTTACCTGGCCATTCTGGCATCATTCCACAGTCCCTCAGCTCCCTTAGCCTGGATAACAGTCTGGTGTTACCTGGCCATTCTGGCATCATTCCACAGTCCCTCAGCTACCTTAGCCTGGATAACAGTCTGGTGTTACCTGGCCATTTGGCATCATTCCACAGTCCCTCAGCTCCCTTAGCCTCGATAACAGTCTGGTGTTACCTGGCCATTCTGGCATCATTCCACAGTCCCTCAGCTCCCTTAGCCTGGATAACAGTCTGGTGTTACCTGGCATCATTCCACTGTCCCTCAGCTCCCTTAGCCTGGATAACAGTCTGGTGTTACCTGGCCATTCTGGCATCATTCCACAGTCCCTCAGCTCCCTTAGCCTGGATAACAGTCTGGTGTTACCTGGCCATTCTGGCATCATTCCACAGTCCCTCAGCTACCTTAGCCCGGATAACAGTTTGGTGTTACCTGGCCATTCTGGTGTCCTTCTCCACCATGCATTTGGCCAGCTGGAGGTTGACGTCCATGGGCTGCAGGATGTGTTGTATAGAGGAACCATGTTGACGGGCTGTCTTCCACTCCTCACCTGTAGGGGCAGACAGAAACAGTGAAGGACAGAGCTCAGTGGACAGAGACAGAAACAGTGAGGGACAGAAACAGAAACAGTGAGGGACAGAGCTCAGAGGACAGAGACAGAAACAGTCAGGGACAGAAACAGTGAGTGACAGAGCTCAGAGGACAGAGACAGAAACAGTGAGGGACAGAGCTCAGAGGACAGAGACAGAAACAGTGAGGGACAGAGCTCAGTGGACAGAAACAGTGAGGGACAGAGACAGAAACAGTGAGAGACAAAAAGCTGGAAATACAGTGCATTCGGAAGGTATTCAGGTATTCTTTACTTTTCCACATTTTGTTACATTACAGCCTTATTCTAAAATTGATTAAATTGTTTTCTCATCAATCTACACACAATACCCCATAATAACAAAGCAAAAACATGTTTTTAGAATATTTTTCAAATTTATTAAAAATAGAAAAACTGAAATACCTTATTTACATAAGTATTCAGACCCTTTGCTATGAGGCTTGAAATTGAGCTCAGGTGCATCCTGTTTCCATTGATCATCCTTGAGATGTTCCTACAACTTGATTGGAGTCCACCTGTGGTAAATTCAATTGATTGGACATGATTTGGAAAGGCACACACCTGTCTATATAAGGTCCCACAGTTGACAGTGCATGTCAGAGCAAAAACCAAGCCATGAGGTCGAAGGAATTGTCCGTAGAGCTCCGAGAGAGGATTGTGTCGAGGCACAGATCTGGGGAAGGGTACCAAGAAATGTCTTCAGCATTGAAGGTCCCCAAGAAAACAGTGGCCTCCATCATTCTTAAATGGAAGAAGTTTGGAACCACCAAGACTCTTCCTAGAGCTGGCCGCCCGGCCAAACTGAGCAATCGGGGAGAAGGCCTTGGTCAGGGAGGTGACCAAGAACACGATGGTCACTCTGACAGAGCTCCAGAGTTCCTCTGTGGAGATGGGAGAACCTTCCAGAAGGACAACCATCTCTGCAGCACTCCATAAATCAGGCCTTTATGGTAGAGTGGCCAGACAGAAGCCACTCCTCAGTAAAAGGCACATGAGCGCTTGGAGTTTGTCAAAAGGCACCTAAAGGACTCTCAGACCATGAGAAACAAGATTCTCTGGTCTGATGAAACCAAGATTGAACTCTTGGCCTGAATGCCAAGCGTCACGTCTGGAGGAAACCTGGCACCATCCCTACGGTGAAGCATGGTGGTGGCAGCATCATGCTATGGGGATGTTTTTCAGCAGCAGGGACTGGGAGACTAGTCAGGATCGAGGGATAGATGAATAGAGCAAAGTACAGAGAGATCCTTGATGAAAACCTGCTCCAGAGCGCTCAGGACCTCAGACTGGGGCAAAGGTTCACCTTCTAACAGGACAACGACCCTAAGCACACAGTCAAGACAATGCAGGAGTAGCTTCGGGACAAGTCTCTGAATGTCCTTGAGTGGCCCAGCCAGAGCCCGGACTTGAACACGATCTAACATCTCTGGAGAGACCTGAAAATAGCTGTGCAGCGATGCTCCCCATCCAACCTGACAGAGCCTGAGAGGATCTGCAGAGAAGAATGGGAGAAACTCCCCAAATACAGGTGTGCCAAGCTTGTAGCGTCATACCCAAGAATACTTGAGGCTGTAATCGCTGCCAAAGGTGCTTCATCAATGTACTGAGTAAAGGGTCTGAATACTAGTTTTTTTAATACATTTGCAAACATTTCTAAAAAACCTGTTTCTACTTTGTCAGTATGGGGTATTGTGTGTAGATTGAAGAGGGGGAAAAAACTATGCCATCCATTTTAGAATAAGGCTGTAACGTAACAAAATGTGGAAAAAGTCAATACTTTCCAAATGCACTGTATGTATAGGATTGTGCCTTTGGCTACCGGACAATAAAATAAAGTTGAAAACCAATAGAACATGAGAGAAGAAGGCTACTGGTTCCAATGGCAATAAGGAAGTATTTAGAAACAATTATTGCCTGCACGTTTGGTGGGATTTTGGCTATAGGCTACTTTGAAGCAAGGTAAGACATGTCTCATAATATGTAGTAAAACGTCCAGGTTTCATTACATCACATTTACATTTCAGTCATTTAGCAGACGCTCTTATCCAGAGCGACTTACAGTTATTGAGTGCATACATTATTTTTTTATTTTTCATACTGGCCCCCCCGTGGGAATCGAACCCAAAACCCTGGCGTTGCAAACGCCATGCTCTACCAACTGAGCTACATCCCTGCCGGCCATTCCCTCCCCATACCCTGGACGACGCTGGGCCAATTGTGCGCCGCACCCATGGGTCTCCCGATCGCGGCCGGCTACGACCGCCTGGAATCGAACCAGGATCTCTAGTGGCACAGCTAGCACTGCGATGCAGTGCCTTAGACCACTACGCCACTCGGGAGTTTCAAACAATTAAAGCGTACGTTTTCAAAATGCATACTGCCTCCATCTCATCGCAAAGCGGTGTGTGACGTGCTGACGCCTGCATAGTGGGAAGCGAGCTTCAATTAACAGTTAAGATATATAAATAGCTCTTTTTAACTGTGGACATCAAAACTGTTTTTTTAAACACGCAATTGCATTTAGAATTGTTGCTCAATGAAAAGCACGTTTCACTCCGAGCAGCACCGAACAGCTGTTTGATGAGGTGTGGCAGCAGTTCTCTTCGCTACATCCACTGGCCAATCTACATCCCATCAAATCAATAGGCTAAAATGCATTATTTCGCAAATGGGATTAATTTTTATTCATCTGCTTTTTGTTTCTCGCATCGGCCAAAAGCCGGCTATTATCGGCTAAAGGAAAACCCTGGTGTGCGCGCGTACCTGACTTGCTGTAGAGGACCTGGACGCTGCGTAGCTCCAGTGAGTACCTCTCGTAGGCACGGTCCATAATCTCCTCCAGGGAACTGAAACTGGGTGATAAAGGCTGGTGGTTCCCCTGGTCCACACTCATCAGCTAAACACACACACACACACACACACACAAAGCGTGAACACGTACACACACAAACACATACGCACATTTCTTTAAAACTATGACACAATATAACAATAGGGTGTCTTTGCCGCCATTATTCTAGAATCTGTCTGTTCTCACCTGTAGACTACCAAAGTCTATGATCATCGGGTCACTATTCTAGAATCTGTCTGTTCTCACCTGTAGACTACCAAAATCTATGATCATCAGGTCATTATTCTAGAATCTGTCTGTTCTCACCTGTAGACTACCAAAGTCTATGATCATCAGGTCAGACTTGGCGTGGTAGAAGCCAGACTTGGGCACCAGCAGGTATGAAGGCTTTAGGTCAATCTTCAGGTCCAGAATCTTACGGGTTTCAATGATGTGAGACAGACCTGCACAGACGGCAAAATAATAATCAATAGATGTTAGATAATGTATGTGATGATGTGAGACAGATGTTAGATAATGTATGTGATGATGTGAGACAGAGGTTAGATAATGTATGTGATAATGTGAGACAGAGGGTAGATCATGTACAGTGAGGGAAAAAAGTATTTGATCCCCTGCTGATTTTGTATGTTTGCCCACTGACAAAGAAATGATTAGTCTATAATTTTAATGGTAGGTTTATTTGAACAGTGAGAGACAGAATAACAACAAAAAAATCCAGAAAAACGCATGTCAAAAATGTTATAAATTGATTTGCATTTTAATGAGGGAAATAAGTATTTGACCCCCTCTCAATCAGAAAGATTTCTGGCTCCCAGGTGTCTTTTATACAGGTAACGAGCTGAGATTAGGAGCACACTCTTAAAGGGAGTGCTCCTAATCTCAGTTTGTTACCTGTATAAAAGACACCTGTCCACAGAAGCAATCAATCGATCAGATTCCAAACTCTCCACCATGGCCAAGACCAAAGAGCTCTCCAAGGATGTCAGGGACAAGATTGTAGACCTACACAAGGCTGGAATGGGCTACAAGACCATCGCCAAGCAGCTTGGTGAGAAAGTGACAACATTTGGTGCGATTATTCGCAAATGGAAGAAACACAAAAGCACTGTCAATCTTCCTCGGCCTGGGGCTCCATGCAAGATCTCACCTCGTGGAGTTGCAATGATAATGAGAACGGTGAGGAATCAGCCCAGAACTACACGGGAGGATCTTGTCAATGATCTCAAGGCAGCTGGGACCATAGTCACCAAGAAAACAAATGGTAACACAGTACGCCGTGAAGGACTGAAATCCTGCAACGCCCGCAAGGTCCCCCTGCTCAAGAAAGCACATATACAGGCCCGTCTGAAGTTTGCCAATGAACATCTGAATGATTCAGAGGAGAACTGGGTGAAAATGTTGTGGTCAGATGAGACCAAAATGGAGCTCTTTGGCATCAACTCAACTCGCCGTGTTTGGAGGAGGAGGAATGCTGCCTATGACCCCAAGAACACCATCCCCACCGTCAAACATGGAGGTGGAAACATTATGCTTTGGGGGTGTTTTTCTGCTAAGGGGACAGGACAACTTCACCGCATCAAAGGGACGATGGACGGGGCCATGTACCGTCAAATCTTGGGTGAGAACCTCCTTCCCTCAGCCAGGGCATTGAAAATGGGTCGTGGATGGGTATTCCAGCATGACAATGACCCAAAACACACAGCCAAGGCAACAAAGGAGTGGCTCAAGAAGAAGCACATTAAGGTCCTGGAGTGGCCTAGCCAGTCTCCAGACCTTAATCCCATAGAAAATCTGTGGAGGGAGCTGAAGGTTCGAGTTGCCAAACATCAGCCTCGAAACCTTAATGACTTGGAGAAGATCTGCAAAGAGGAGTGGGACAAAATCCCTCCTGAGATGTGTGCAAACCTGGTGGCCAACTACAAGAAACGTCTGACCTCTGTGATTGCCAACAAGGGTTTTGCCACCAAGTACTAGGTCATGTTTTGCACGGAAGGCCAGTATAAAAAAAAATATGTATTCACTAACTGTAAGTCGCTCTGGATAAGAGCGTCTGCTAAATGACTAAAATGTAAAAATGTAAATGTGAGTGATTATGCGATAATGTTTTTGATGATGTGATAATGCATGTGACGATGTGATAATGTGTGTGACGGTGTGGTAATGCATGTGACAATGTGATAACGTGTGTGATGATGTGATAATGTGTGTGATGATGTGATAATGTATGTGATGATGCGATAATGTGTGTGCTGATACGATAATGTGTGTGCTGATACGATAATGTATGTGATGATGCGATAATGCATGTGATGATGTGACAATGTGTATTATGATGTGATAATGTATGTGATAATGTGTATGATGATGTGATCATGTGTGTGATGATGTAATGATATGTGTGATGATGTGATAATGTGTGTGATGATGTGATAATGTGACAATGTGTGTGATGATGTGATAATGTGTGTGATGATGGGATAATGTGTGTGATGATGTAATGATATGTGTGATGATGTGATAATGTGTGTGATGATGTGATAATGTGTGTGATGATGTGATAATGTGTGTGATGTGATAATGTGTGTGATGATGTGATAATGTGTGTGATGTGATAATGTGTGTGATGCTGTGATAATGTATATGATGATGTCATAATGTGTGATGGGATAATGTGTTTGATGATGCGATAATGTGTGTGACAATGTATGTGATGATGTGATAATGTATGTGATGATGTGACAATGTGTATGATGATGTGATAATGTGTGTGATGATGTGATAATGTGTATGATGATGTGATAATGTGTGTGATGATGTGATAATGTATGTGATGTGATAATGTGTGTGATGACCAGCAAGAGACAAACATCTATCCGGCAGTGTGTGTTTGAGTCAGCCTATGACGGCTGTAATAACATCTTATGTAGCTGTTATAGAGGCTTAGTGAATGCGTATATAAGGGGCGCTATATAAAGTGTTTCCTATTTATCTGTACCCACCAGTGGCTGTCTTCTCCTTGATCTCCTCCAGCTTGGAGAGAGTGGCTGAAGTCAACACCTCCAGATCCACTCCCTTCCCTGTCTGAAAGAACTCTGCCATGCTGTTCACTGTCAACTGGCAGAGAGAAACACACACACAGGAGTTGATTTATTTAGTGACTTCAGTGCCTTTAGTTACCCCACAAAGGGCAGGAAAGTGATGTACTGAACAGTGTGAATTTGAATACATGGAGGAGGAGCTGTAAATAGACTACATGCATGTAGAATAAACATGGTATTATGAGCATTAATAGACAGAGTAGATGGAGCTTTACTTGGTCAAAGACATTACACATGACTTCATAGGGCAGTTTATCACCATTGATGACATCATGAATGATCAATGAGGCTTGGAGTGGACTGGACATTACATGGTCTACTAAATATCATTATGGAGAGAGAGAGAGAGAGAGAGAGGGGGAGAGAGAGAGAGAGAGAGAGAGAGAGAGAGAGAGAGAGAGAGAGAGAGAGAGAGAGAGAGAGAGAGAGAGAAGAGAGAAGAGATATATAGAGAGAGAGATAGAGAGAGAGATAGAGAGAGGAGAGAACAGAGATCGAGAGAGAGAGAGAGAAGAGAGAGAGAGAGAGAGATAGGTCTCGCAGAGTCTCTTCTCTCTCCTCTCTATCTCTCTATCGCTCCATCTCAGAATAACATTCTCTCTCTCTATCTCGCTATATCCAGATATCATATCATATCTAGCGCTATATATAGCAGAGTAGGAAGAGAGAGAGAGAGAGAGAGGAGAGAGAGAGAGACATTCCACATAGTGGGGTCAGAGGGAGGTCCTTATGGATGGGAGAGATGATAGCCACAGATAGGAGTGGGACAGTGAGAGTGAATAACTGAGTGAGGGTGTGTAAACCCATACATACTGAGTCGTAGATGATCTCTACAGGCTGAGATTGGACTCTGAGCAGCTGGTCTGCAGTGCTGTCCTCTGGGTTGACTTCAAACAGGATGGAGAGCAGAGAGGAGCTGGAGTCCCCTACTGACGCTATGAGAGATGGGACAGCTCCCTGCTGCTCCAACCCTGTCACGTACCAGTGCTCTAACGCTGCCTCCACCCTGGGAGAGGGGAGGGGGGAGAGGGAGAGAGAGAGAGAGGAGAGAGAGAGAGAGGGGGGGGGGGAGAGGGAGAGAGGGAGAGAGAGAGAGAGAGAGAGTGGAGAGAGAGAGAGAGAGAGAGAGAGAGAGAGAGAGAGAGAGAGAGAGAGAGAGAGATCAGTAGTTAATCAACAGTTGTATTAAATGTTCTTTAATCTCTTGTGTGTTCTTGCTTTGACAATACAAATGCATCGGTGACTGATGTGGTGTACTCCTCAATGCACCGGTGACTGATGTGGTGTACTCCTCAATGCACCGGTGACTGATGTGGTGTACTCCTCAATGCCATCGGATGAGTCCCGGAACATATTCAACTCTGTGCTAGCGAAACAGTCCTATAGCATCGGACCACTTCCGTACTGAGCGCCTCACTGTTACTTCCTGTTTGAGTTTTTGCTTGTCAGCAGGAATGAGGAGGATAGAGTTGTGGTCAGATGGAGGGAGAGAAGGGGAAAATGAAGAGAGACCTGATGGCCTGAGCCCCGGGTCTCTGGGAGACGGTGCTGCTGAGGTCAATCATCTGGACCTTCAGGATCTCTGGTACGTTGGGCTCCTCCCTCACCGTGATGGACGTACGGAACAGCTTGAAGGTCACCATCACTGCCACGTACTGGAGGATACAGAGAGCCATGCAGGGGAACAAACACAGGAGTGTGAGAAATATCCATTTCTCAGGATGGAAGTTCTTTGAATTTTTTTTAATACATTTTCCTTATTGATCATTTCCAGTGCCCAACACGGACACAGACATAGGTGTAGATTGGCTTTGTTTCTCACGAAGCTGTTAGCGGGTCTGCTCCATTAAATGTCATGTCAGTACCAACACCGAAGAGAGACCTACCTGCTTGGGTAAGGCCAGGTTGTGAGAACTACCACTGTATCCGATGGAGACAGACACACAGAGACCTACCTGCTTGGGTAAGGCCAGGTTGTGAGAACTACCACTGTATCCGATGGAGACAGACACACAGAGACCTACCTGCTTGGGTAAGGCCAGGTTGTGAGAACTACCACTGTATCCGATGGCCGTGTAGAGTTTAGTCTTCTCATCAGCAGACATCAACTCTTCAAAGCCTGAAATTGGGAAGGTCAAAATATTACACAACACCAATCAATGTAGCCGCTGGTGTTCACAAGGTGCAAGGTGAGGACGACCAGGGACGACCAGGGACGACCAGGGACGACCAGGGACCACATTCATCAAGAATCTCAGAGGAGGAGGGCTGATCTATCATCGGTTCAACCTTTCAGATCATAATGAATAAGGATATATGGGTTATATGGGGACCTGATCCGAGATCAGTGCTCCTGGTCTAAAACACAATGTACTGTAGCCATGTCTCTCATTGAGGACAGCGGGTGTGGATTGTGAATGCTGTTTGTTAGTTAGTTTGTCTCTTGAGGGTTAGGTGATAGCTTGTGTGTATGAGGAGACTGAGGAATCACTACCTCACTTCCTCCTTGGTATCCTGCTCCTGTTCCTGTGTGTGGTGACTGAGGAGTACTCACCCTCCTCCTCCTTGGTGTCCTGTTCCTGTTCCTGTTTTTTCATCTTCATTTCCTTCCTTCCAAAGAAGCTGCTGAAAAACCCTCCTCCTCCTCCTCCCTGCTTCTGGCCCGCCGCCACCTTCTTAGTTACCACCTTCTGGCCTGACCGGATCACCTGGAGGACAGAGGGGGAGAGAGACAGGTGGAGGAGGGAGGGGGGAGAGAGAGAGGGGGAGGAGGGAGGGGGGAGAGAGGGGGGATGAGAGTTTTTTTTAGACTCTTTTTTCTTTTTCTTTTTTTTGTTTTTCTCTCTCTCGAGAGAGGGGGAGGAGGGAGGGGGGAGGGGGGAGAGAGAGAGAGGGGGACAAAAACAGCGACAGAGAGACAGTTCAGACACAAAACCCCCATCGACATGGTTTCTAAGAACACAGTAATATATTGTAGAAGACCTTTGGTTAATGGGTATAACAAATACTGCACAAACCTCTATCTGTGCTTGTTGCCGGGCTAATGTGATGTTGAAAACATCCAGGCTCTTCTCCAGGTCCTGGATCTGTTTCTCCTGGTCCTCTTTGAGTTTACCCTGCGTGGCCAGTAGTTTGCTCTTGTAGGCTGCCCTGTAGGCCTTCAGAGTGTGGCGGTGCTTCCTGATGTTGGACCAGGACCACATCTGGTTGAAGCGTCTGATATGGACGTCCAGAACACTGTTCACACCGTACTTCCACCTGGAAACACCGTCACCCCATAGTTAAGGAGCTGAGATTCTGAAAACTTCACATTGCGTTGACCCCATCCTGATAAACAGATAGCATGCACAACATTGACTAGTACTGCCCATTAGAATGTATGGAGTGGGGACTGGTTGGTTGACTGGTTGGTTAACTGGTTGGTTGACTGGTTGGTTGACTGGTTGGTTAACTGGTTGGTTGACTGGTTGGTTGACTGGTTGGTTGACTGGTTGGTTGGTTGACTTACCAGTGCTTGGCATTTGTGTGTACAGGTACATCAGGTCTGAACTTCCTGTAGGGTCCATTCTTAACCATACAGTCTATAGACTCTAGCAGGTCCACCATGGTTAGGTACTAAACAGGAATAGACAACATGATATCAGTCTATAGACTCTAGCAGGTCCACCATGGTTAGGTACTAACCAGGAATAGATAACAACCGAGTACATATAATTCAAATGTATTTCAGGATTAAAGATCATTTAAATGTGGGAATGCTATCTTGTTAAAATAACCAGCAGCAAATTGAAACATGTGGAATACATGTCAGGGTGTGCACATAAAGAGAGGCTTCTGAAATGATTCTACAAAGGACTACAACAACATTGACAAATTATTCCATACAGTGCCTTGCAAAAGTATTCATCTCCCTTGGCGTTTTTCCTATTTTGTTGCATTACAACCTTTAATTTTTATTTGGATTTCATGTAATGGACATACACAAAATAGTCCAAATTGGTGAAGTGAAATGAAAAAAAAAACTTGTTTCAAAAAATTCTAAAAAATAAACAACGGAAAAGTGGTGCGTGCATATGTATTCAGCCCCTTTGCTATGAAGCCACTAAATAAGATCTGGTGCAACCAATTACCTTCAGAAGTCACATAATTAGTTAAATAAAGTCCACCTGTGTGCAATCTAAGTGTCACATGATCTGTCACATGATCTCAGTATATATACACCTGTTCTGAAAGGCCCCAGAGTCTGCACCACCACTAAGCAAGGGGCACCACCAAGCAAGCGGCACCATGAAGACCAAGGAGCTCTCCAAACAGGTCAAGGACAAAGTAATGGAGAAGTACAGATCAGGGTTGGGTTATAAAAAAATCTGAAACTTTGAATATCCCACGGAGCACCATTAAATCCATTACTAAAAAATTGAAAGAATATGGCACCACAACAAACCCACCAAATCTCACAGCCCAGGCAAGGAGGGCATTAATCAGAGAGGCAACAGAGACCAAAGATAACCCTGAAGGAGCTGCAAAGCTCCACAGCGGAGATTGGAGTTTCTGTCCACAGGACCACTTTAAGCTGTACACTCCATAGAGCTGGGCTTTACGGAAGAGTGGCCAGAAAAAAGCCATTGCTTAAAGAAAAAAATAAGCAAACATGTTTGGTGTTCGCCAAAAGGCATGTGGGAGACTCCCCAAACATATGGAAGAAGGTACTCTGGTCAGATGAGACTAAAATTGAGCTTTTTGGCCATCAAGGAAAACGCTATGTCTGGCGCAAACCCAACACCTCTCATCACCCCGAGAACACCATCCCCACAGTGAAGCATGGTGGTGGCAGCATCATGCTGTGGGGATGTTTTTCATCGGCAGGGACTGGGAAACTAGTCAGAATTGAAGGAATGATGGATGGCGCTAAATACAGGGAAATTCTTGAGGGAAACCAGTTTCAGTCTTCCAGAGATTTGAGACTGGGACGGAGGTTCACCTTCCAGCAGGACAATGACCCTAAGCATACTGCTAAAGCAACACTCATGTGGTTTAAGGGGAAACATTTAAATGTCTTGGAATGGCCTAGTCAAAGCCCAGACCTCAATCCAATTGAGAATCTGTGGTATGACTTAAAGATTGCTGTACACCAGCGGAACCCATCCAACTTGAAGGAGCTGGAGCAGTTTTGCCTTGAAGAATGGGCAAAAATCCCAGTGGCTAGATGTGCCAAGCTTATAGAGACATACCCCAAGAGACTTGCAGCTGTAATTGCTGCAAAAGGTTGGCTCTACAAAGTATTGACTTTGGGGGGGTGAATAGTTATGCACGCTCAAGTTCTGTTTTTTTGTTTATTTCTTGTTTGTTTCACAAAAAAAATATTTTACATCTTCAAAGTGGTAGGCATGTTGTGTAAATCAAATGATACAAACCCCCCAAACAATCCATTTCAATTCCAGGTTGTAAGGCAACAAAATAGGAAAAATGCCAAGGGAGGTGTATGTGTGTGTGTGTGTGTGTCTGTGTGTGTGTGTGTGTGTGTGTGTGTGTTCGTACCTGTGGTTTGGTAATCTCTATTGCTACATTCTGAACCTCCAGATACAGGTTGGCTTTGGGGGACTTCAGCTCAATCTCAGCATTAGGGTTGATAACCATTTTAGCAGAGGCAAAGATGGGTTTGAAAACTGCATGGAGAGAGAGAGAGAGAGAGAGAGAGAGAACATCCTATGAAATCGACTTTAATATAACCAACATCTTTATGGATCATTCCCCCTCCAACATCTAGGGTTGGTTAGACTAGACACCATGATCATTGGAGATTCTCCATTGAAAGTGCTTCTTAATCCAGGACCAGCATTCATCTCAAATCATAGAAACAGACAGTCAGACAAGACGTTCAGAGACAGACAGACAGACGGTGGGAGAGAACAGACAGACAGACAGACAGACAGACAGACAGACAGACAGACAGACAGACAGACAGACAGACAGACAGACAGACAGACAGACAGACAGACAGACAGACAGACAGACAGACAGACAGACAGACAGACAGACAGACAGACAGACAGACAGACAGACAGACAGACAGACAGACAGACAGACAGACAGACAGACAGACAGACAGACAGACAGACAGACAGACAGACAGACAGACGGTGGGAGAGAACAGAAAGTCATTTACGGAATCACCATATTCACATTGGTCTGTCATAACGCTGTCACATCCGTCTTCTACACCACCAGTTCACTCTGAGTGTTTTCTCATCTTCATGAGGTTGGGAAGATAGTCGTTTAAAGCTAACAGAGGAAAACATATGCCAGTATATCCAGTCGGTGTGTGTGTGTGTGTGTGTGTGTGTGTGCTAGGTTTCACAGAGATTATAAGATAAAAGCAACAATATTAATGGTTTCCTCTCCTGGCTTGGCTGGCTGGTTGCCATGGATAGTCAAATGAAACCTTTAATAAAAAATTTAAATAAATTGAAGTGAGGAAGGACACCTTTCTCTGTCTTTTCTAATGGAAAGTGTGTGTGTGTTGCCAGTGGTACATACTATATTGGTAGTCTTTGAGCTCTTGGTCCTTGGTACTGATGCCGGCCTTCAGCTTTTCCTGGACAGACACAAAGAGAAGGATGAAGATTAGAAAATCACACAGACATGGGGCCTCCCGAGTGGCGCAGCGGTCCAAGGCGATGCACTACAGTCCCGGGTTCGATGCCGGGCTGTGTCACAACCGGCCCGTGACCGGGAGTCCCATAGGGCGGTGCACAATTGGCCCAGCGTCGTCCGGGTTAGAGGAGGGTTTGGCCAAGGGGGAGGCTTTACTTGGCTCATCGCGCTCTAGCGACTCCTTGTGGCGGGCCGGGTGCCTGCAGGCTGACCTCGGTCGTCAGGTGAACGGTGTTCCCTCCGACACATTGGTGCGGCTGGCTTCTGGGTTAAGCGTGCGGGTGTTAAGAAGTGCGGTTTGGCGGGTCATGTTTCGGAGGACGCATGACTCGACCTTTGCCTCTCCCGAGCCCATCGGGGAGTTGCAGCGATGAGACAAGATCGAAATTTGGGAGAAAAAAGGTGGGGGTAAAAAAAAAAAATCACACAGATATGACTCGGGGTCTTCTGTAGCTCAGTTTGTAGAGCATGGTGCTTGCAACACCAGGATAGTGGGTTTGATTCCCGGGACCACCCATAAGTAAAATGTATGTACGCATGACTGTAAGACGCTTTGGAAAAAAGCATCTGCTAAATGCCATATAATACTATTATTAAATGATGATTTATATATTAGGAGGAGGATTGTCTGCCATAATGCGTTTAGTAGTGATGGATGGTTGCTAGTGATTTGGCTGACTAGAATTTTGGATAAAAGTGTCTGTTAAATGGCATATACAGTTGAAGTCGGATGTTTACATAAACCTTAGCCAAATATATTTAAACTCAGTTTTTCACAATTCCTGACATTTTAATCCTAGTAAAAATTCCCTGTCTGAGGTCAGTTAGGATCACCACTTCATTTTAAGAATGTGAAATGTCAGAATAATAATAGAGAGAGTGATTTATTTCAGCTTTTATTTCTTTCATCACATTCCCAGTGGGTTAGAAGTTTACATACACTCAATTAGTATTTGGTAGCATTGCCTTTAAATTGTTTAACTTGGGTCAAACGTTTTGGGGAGCCTTCCATAAGCTTCCCACAATAAGTTGGGTGAATTTTGGCCCATTCCTCCTGACAGAGCTGGTGTAACTGAGTCAGGTTTGTAGGCCTCCTTCCCTCGCACACGCTTTTTCAGTTCTGCCCACACATTTTCTATAGGATTGAGGTCAGGGCTTTGTGATGGCCACTCCAATACCCTGACTTTGTTGTCCTTAAGCCATTTTGCCACAACATTGGAAGTATGCTTGGGGTCATTGTCCATTTGGAAGACCCATTTGCGACCAAGCTTTAACTTCCTGACTGATGTCTTGAGATGTTGCTTCAATATATCCACATAATTTCCCTTCCTCATGATGCCATCTATTTTGTGAAGTGCACCAGTCCCTCCTGCAGCAAAGCACACCCACAGCATGATGCTGCCACCCCCGTGCTTCACGGTTGGGATGGTTCTTTGGCTTGCAAGCTTCCCCCTTTTTCCTCCAAACATAACGATGGGCGGTTTTGGAGCAGTGGCTTCTTCCTTGCTGAGCGGCCTTTCAGGTTGTTGATATAGGACTCGTTTTACTGTGGATATAGATACTTTTGTACCTGTTTCCTCCAGCATCTTCACAAGGTCCTTTGCTGTTGTTCTGGGATTGATTTGCACTTTTCGCACCAAAGTACATTCATCTCTAGGAGACAGAATGCGTCTCCTTCCTGAGCGGTATGACGGCTGCGTGGTCCCATGGTGTTTATACTTGCGTACTATTGTTTGTACAGATGAACGTGGTACCTTCAGGCGTTTGGAAATTGCTCCCAAGGATGAACCAGACTTGTGGAGGTCTACAATTCTTTTTCTGAGGTCTTGGCTGATTTTTTTGGATTTTCCCATGATGTCAAGCAAAGAGGCCCTGAGTTTGAAGGTAGGCCTTGAAATACATCCACAGGTACACCTCCAATTGACTAAAATGATGTCAATTAGCCTATCAGAAGCTTCTAAAGCCATGACATCATCAGCTGTTTAAAGGCACAGTCAACTTAGTGTATGTAAACTTCTGACCCACTGGAATTGTGATACAGTGAATTATAAGTGAAATAATTTGTCTGTAAACAATTGTTGGAAAAATTACTTGTGTCATGCACAAAGTAGATGTCCTAACCGACTTGCCAAAATTATAGTTTGTTAACAAGACATTTGTGGAGTGGTTGAAAAACGAGTTTTAATGACTCCAACCTAAGTGTATGTACATTTCCGACTTCAACTGTATTATATTATATCATGACATTTAGCAGACGCTCTTATCCAGAGCGACTTACAGTTAGTGAGTGCATACATGTTTTTTTGTTTGTTTTGTTTTTTGTTTGTTTTTCATACTGGCCCCACGTGGGAAACGAACCCACATCCCTGCCGGCCAAACCCTCCCCTACCTTGGACGACGCTGGACCAATTGTGCGCCGCCCATGGGTCTCCTGGTCGCGGCCGGCTGCAACAGAGCCTGGACTCGAACCAGGATCTCTAGTGGCACAGCTAGCACTGCGATGCAGTGCCTTAGACCACTGTGCCACTCGGGACAAAGTGTATCTAAGATGGAAACAGCTGTCGGATCAACCCAACGTGTATCTAAGATGGAAACAGCTGTCGGATCAACCCAAAGAATAATTAACAGTTCAAACAAAGACCCCAAACGGTTTGTTCCAAATCCATTTGACCTGTGATTCATTTGAGAATGAAATATCGCCCTAAAGATAACGAAGCATTGAGCTGGTCAAGACCCTGTGCTCCACGTCTATGTTAAAGGCTGTTAGCAAGTGATGGTGGAAATAAGGGAAAGTTATGACTATAACTACAGGTTCTCTGAAGTCACTACGCTCGTTACAACACACAGCTACGGGGATCTCATGAGAGCTCTGTGTTGTAACAAGTGTTCAGACTGACAGGGAACAGAACGATCCTCATAGCTCTGTGTTGTAACAAGTGTTCAGACTGACAGGGAACAGAACGATCCTCATAGCTCTGTGTTGTAACTAGACAGGGAACAGAACGATCCTCATAGCTCTGTGTTGTAACAAGTGTTCAGACTGACAGGGAACAGAACGATCCTCATAGCTCTGTGTTGTGACCACATGTATCTACTATAACTAGGACCACATGTATCTCCTATAACTAGGACCAGTAGGGAGACCACATGTATCTACCTCCTTATCCTGGTCAGGTCAAGTGGTGAGGAACAACTCCTGAGTCCTGGTCCTGTCTATAGTAGGTGACATATTACCTGTTCTTCAGTTTGTATTCAGACTGAGTGGCTCTTTTATGGTGGCGATTGTACCACTGTATATGGTGGTGTTGGATAAATTATCTACAGAGCTTATTGAGGAAAATGCAAATGTTTATATAAAACAGGAGAGGAGAGAAGGAGAGCGTGTGAAAAGATAATGGAGGGAGGAGCGGTTAGGGACTTGAATACCTTCAGGGTAGTACTTCATATAGGGATCTATAATACCTCTCCACTGGAATGCGTACATAAGAGGTCAACGTCTTGTAAGGAATATCTTACAGGGAAATTATCTTACAGAACATAGGCTACTCCGCCTGCCATACTGTTTCATCAGTATTTAAACTGAACCTCGAAATGTTTACAAGCAACAGATAGTTGTCATGACGCAAGGCTACGGTTTGGATGGTTTGATACTAGCTAAATCATTAAGCCTTATGTAGTGTTAAGCCTTATGTAGTGTTAAGCCTTATGTAGTGTTTAAGCCTTATGTAGTGTTTAAGCCTTATGTAGAGTTAAGCCTTATGTAGTGTTAAGCCTTATGTAGTGTTAAGCCTTATGTAGTGTTTAAGCCTTATGTAGTGTTAAGCCTTACGTAGAGTTAAGCCTTATGTAGTGTTAAGCCTTATGTAGTGTTAAGCCTTATGTAGTGTTAAGCCTTATGTAGTGTTAAGCCTTATGTAGTGTTAAGCCTTATGTAGTGTTAAGCCTTATGTAGTGTTAAGCCTTATGTAGTGTTAAGCCTTATGTAGTGTTTAAGCCTTATGTAGTGTTTAAG